GCTGGGCACAGCCAGGGCATGAGGAAGCAGTGTTCCAGGTAGCCGCCCTGCAGCACGGGTGACAGCAGGGAAGCTGGTTTGCTCTGTCACCTCTGTCCGCACACACACGCGCTCCTCAAAGCAAACTCACTCCTAAACAGGTTTGTCACTTCATGTCCTTTCTTCATCTGACCATCCAGCTTTGATCAGTCGGTTACTTCCACTGCCATCAGTGGGGCTGCTCACACCTGAGCATCTGGTTGAATCAAGGCTTCAATATTTTGAAAACCTGTATCAGCAAAACACACACCTGCTCAGAGCTAATCTTATCCTGCCAGCCCCACCGTGAGCTTAACATTAAGCCACTCTTCAACCCTATCAACGTTAATCCTCAGCTCTTGGCTGGTTTGGAGCACTATAATTTCCCAGAAGACACAGCAGACACCGCTGCTCCTCCAGACATTAACGCTGGCCGGGAAGCAGGGTGGGAGGTGCAGGCAACACCCTCAGTCTGGGGATAGGGACAGGTCAGCTGGGCCAGGGGCAGGTCCCCAGGATCACCCCCTGCAGCTGCTGCCCTCAGCAGAGCATCTCTGGAGCAGGCTGAAGGTGCTCTGTGGGCACGGAGCGGAGGGGTCTTGAGGCAGGAGGGGAGCTTCCCCCTGGCGCCTCGCCGTCCCTCTCTGCTCGGTTGCATCAGAGGTCTTGCTCCCAGGCAGCATGCCGGCTTTCATAACAATAAATTATAACTTGGCACTTCTGGAGCACTCTCCAGTTCAAAGTGGTGCAGAAACATTAATTAATTCCACAACAGCCCTGGAAGGCAAGAATGGGAGGTAGCGAGCTGAGGTACCTGCCCCGTGACAAACCCTGAGTCAGTGGGGGACTGGGAGGAAAACTTCAGGGCCTGATATGTTTAGATCTGAGCCAGCATCCTTCTTGTCATAACAGCACTTCAGTAATTTAAAAAGTAGCGCCCGTATACTTAATTGCAATTACACCCAACTACTCCAAACTAATGGAGTAAACGGGGGGGGGGAAATTTTATCCTAATTAGCACCCCCCCAAAAAAAAAATCACATCTGTTGTGAGATGTTAACCAAAACAAGTAAAAAGGATAATTATGTGGTATCAGCACAATTAGCAAAACCCCCTTTTAAAGGCTTACAGAGGCTGCCCCACACCACAGCTTCACCCGGCTGCTTCGGGCCCTGTCCCCCACCACAGTCAGGGGTTACAGAGCCACCATGACGAGCCTGTCACCACCACAGTACCTACAGCATGGAGGCCACATCCCTTCTGCCCCAACATTTTTTTATTGTACAAAAAATAAACGCAAAACTGTAAGGCAGCAAGGGGAGGTGTTGGTCCAAATAAAGAATCTCAAAATGTCACCGGCACTGTAATAATAGCAGAGCAGATACTCACTTCGAGAAGCAGCAATAAAAAAGGAGGAATTTATTCACAGAAGCTGTCATTACAGGAGATAATAGGCAATTAGAAACAGTATTTCATAAACTCAAATCAACAGTAGAAATATTTGATAAAATACACTTCTAGGCGTGAGGGGATTAGAAGAGGTACATTCAGAGATTTAATGTAATCCTTAATATAACTCCAGAGGTCCATTAATCAGCTGGAAGGCCTTCTATAACAATACCATTTTAATAAAATATTCAATAGTTGTAGTCTGAAGAGAAAAAGACCAACTGAAGCTAATTAACCCCAGGAAAAATTCTGTACAGTACTCAGAACACCCGACTGAAATAGAGGGGGGAAAAAATAAAGAAAAGTCACATTAAAATGCAATTAATTGAAAATATTGCTAGGAAACTAAATTGAAGCAGTGTGACCTGTATACGAGAGAATATTCAAAGGGGAAAATGGAGTCCATGTATGGAGGTTTTACTATTGTGGAAGGGTTGTTTAAGTGGAGAAGCCTCGATTTGAAAGATAATTGTGTGAGCAGAAAAAACTCCCATTGACGAAGATCATGGATTAAGGTGTCTATTGATGCGGGATAAAACATGTTTTCTAACAAGCAATTCAGAAGAAAAGAATGTCATGCCACTTTGCTTTTTGACCTACAACTATTTAATCAAGAGCCTGTATTAGAAAAGTCGTCTCTCTGCAGGATAGAGGATATGACTCTGAAATCGTGCTGCACAGTAGCAACCCAGCAGCTAACGCATCTTCAGCTCTTGGGCTTTGCTGGTGCATCCTTGTCTTTCCAGGGATTTTTTTTTCAGAGTTCATAATAGGTTGGTTCTGTTGTTCTGGCCATGCCATAATGATATCCAACCTCTGGAAGCCTTCCAAGGAAGCTGGTGAACAGGGGATCACTGTGCGATGCTGTTTTATAGCCCAGATGGCTCTCAGTAATTGAACATTAGTGTGATGGGAAAAGTACCAATAAAACTTTTATTGTAAATCTTCGCCTTCCTCCAGGACTTAGGGTCAAATAAATAAAGCCGTGCACAATTAGCATGCTGGTTTTAGCAGCAGCGGTTATGAAAAATGTGGCATGTACATAGATTTTTCTTGAGGTGGTCATTTTTCTGTCCTTCGCTAACCTTTCTCTCTCCCAATAAGGGACTATTTTTTACGTCAAGCACTTGGAGCTGGGAGCTCTTCCTTCTCCAGCCCTGATTTGGTGGGATCTGCCCTGAAAATGGAGGTCCTGTTTGCACCCACCCCCTCCTGCTGCCCCTTGGCAATCCCTGTGCATAACCCCAGCGACAAGGATGCAACAGGTCAGCATCAGAAGTGTTTTCACCTGTCGTGCACATTGCTAGGACAAAAACCAAGCCCCTTGCCAATACCCTGGCCAGCATCCCTGTGGTGGCCTCAGCCAGGCAGCTCCCAGCCCCTCGGGCTTGCACCTACCTTCCTGGGGAGGTGGCTGGCGGCGGCAGGAGCGGTGCCCTAAAACCGTTGCCGCTGCCCTTGCAGAGCGGCAGCGCAGCTCCTTTCCTCTGGGCCAAGCTGCCGGCACCACCTTTGTTGTCATCACATAGGTTACATGATAAAGATTGCCACTGATGGACTTCAGTGAGTTTAGTCAAATTTTACTGACTCAATGGAGCCCAAAGAAGCCCCAGTTATAAACTCCTTCCCTAAGGGGCATGGAGAGATTTTTGGGGCACATGCCCCACACACCAGGCTGCAGCAGCCCCCAGTAGACCATGTCTTGATCTCCTGCACAGTGCGCACTATGGACAAAGCCCATGTTAACCCCCCAGGAAATTAGCGTTAATTAGCAGGGTGCTGCAATCCTGCAAGTGACTGCCATTTATCCCACTAATGTCAGCTCTGCACTACTGGACCTCTTAGAATTTCTGACATTAAAACTATTACCGGCCACAAATAAAATGTAATTTATATTCTTTCAGAAATGGAAAAAGTACAGTGGGATACTCTGCAGCATTATTATTAGGTAGTGCTAAATCAAACATCAAGGATGAAAGGAACGCTGTATTCAGCAACTGAGTTTATTTTAATAGATGCAATAGAAGTCCCATGACTTACAATTTTGCCTGAAAGGGGAATGTTCTCACTGGAAAACACATGAAAAAAAGGCTCACACTGGAGGTAGAGCCCTCACTCGCCCCAGGGCTGTCTGCACTCTTTGCTAATACTGGCAAATTTCCATTTTCCTTCTCAAATGACCGTTTATCCTTCAACCTTGATTTTTCCAAATATCCTGAACTACTGTTGGAATCAATACACTCTGCAAAACAAACCAACACGCAGAAAATCCTGTTGGTGCAACATTCGATGTGAAATTTTAAACTGCAAATCTAGCTATGGAGTTCCTATTCCAGCCTTCACCATCTCCATGGTACTAAAGCTTCACGGGAGGCAGCAAGCAGTGACACGGCCGGCCTGCACGGCAGGAGCTGGAGGACCGGGACTGTCGGCGGCAGGGAACCCCATGCTTGGGCACACACAGTGCTGGCCGGGGTGGCCCGAGGGGCACATCTGCCATGGTCGCAGCTCACTCAGGCGCTGCAAAGCATCCTTGAGGTGAGCCAGCAGCTGCTCACAGCTGCTGTCAGAGACCAACTCCCCAAGCTTGAAGGTGCCACATAAATCACAGCCAGAAGGAGACCTGCTGAGACTCCTCCCTGCACACCTCTGCCACCTGCACAGCCAACAACCCCGCTTCTCTATCTGCATGAGACAGCTTTTGACAAACCAATCTGCTGCGCTCTCCTGAAGCCAAGGGCTTTTCACTGCCATCAGGAGAGCTTTGCTGCCTGGCCCCAGGTGAGGACCAGCTCCTGTGAGGCTTAGCAGGTGACAACAAACAGACCAAGTTGGATCTGTAGCAGCAGTGCTTCCGCAGGTGCCGAGGTGGGGTAAAATACGTAATCTTCGTGTGCCTTGAAAGCCAGGTAAAACTGAACCCCGAGGAATAAAATTTATTTACTGTACCCCAGCAGAAGCCTGTGGTCCAGAACAGCGAGCACGTATTGATGCTGCTAACAAAACAGTGGTTTGGCAATATTTTATATATGTAGTGGTCCATCACCTACAATACACAGCGAGTGCATGCAATATACAGGAGACGTAAAATTATTTACATCATCTCCAGTGGGTTGGTTATTGGTCTGACTGATACACACCAGGGAGAAAACAGATTTTGGTAGTGCTTTTCCTGGTTCTTGATGTGGCAAAAGAAATTAAAGAAGGTCCAGAGTGAACATGTGTTGGAGAAGAGGCTGTGCATACCCTCTCGCACAGGTCCTTTCCCCGTGTCCGGGGTCTCCTAGGTCCCAGAGAGGTGGGTTTTCCTTAGCTTTGCTGAGGATCTGCTGGCTGATGTGTTTTCCTCCCTTTCCCCCCACTTGGGGACAGCCTGACAAACGATGGCCTGTTACACTGGGAACACGAGGAGATGGATCAGACCAAAGAAACTGAGAGGAAAAGAAATGAAAAGCCAGGGGTGGTTAACAGCTGGCCTTGCAAAGCCATGCATCTGTAGGGTACAAGAACACTGCCAAATACACGTTATCCAAGAGTTTTAACACAATTTATTTTATGCTTAAATAATCAGCTAGATCATCCAGTGTTTTTTGTTTTCATACATATGTAATTAGAGCTATTATCAATTAATGCTGTTTCCATATGAATATAATCAACAAATTAAAGTATTTCACCAAAACCCAAATAAAAATGCCCTTTAAAACACAGCAGCCTTAACAACCTAATATTACACTGCTAGGATGATTACAGATGATTGGCTTACTGAAAGAGTCTACATCTTATAGCCAGTACACAATACAGTAATAATTTTACAGCGTGCTGCCAGTCTATTAGCTAATAATTTCTCTTCAGTTCATTTAGAAATATCCCAAACATGTGCTCCTTAGAGCACCAACCCACTTCTAAAGCTGCAAGCATTATCCCCATTATAGAGCGAGAACAAATAGCACCCCCATCCCCATAATGCAACTACTGTATATGTTACGGGGTTTAGGTAATTTCATTGAAAAATTGGCAACAGCAACAAATATTAGATGAAGGGCTTTGTGTTTACAGATAAAATCTTATTTTTCGTGTTGCGGTATAGTGTTTGCAAAACTGGAAAAGATTTAATCAAAATAAGGTGAAACACATGCATCAAAATATTAGTACTCTGAAGAAAAATTTTCACAGAACTACAGAATTCCTCATTTTGGGAATCATTTAAATTTGCAGCAGATTTTAAAGATTTTTTTAAAATCAAGCTAGCGTTTTTGCATATACAAACATTATAATTGCTAATATACAAGAATCTGTGAAGATACACCCAGAATATCCTTGTAGGTGCAGCCATTTGAGACACCTAGCCTGCTCAATGCATTTGCAATATTCTGTTTGTGATCGAAAAGGCAGTGCCTTATCAACATTTATTCTACTTTGTTAGAATTTATACAGTGTTATTTATTTACAGCAAAACTATTGATGTTTAAAAAAGAAACAAATAAGTGTTTTATACCCTGACAGTTTGGGTCCAAGAAAAATAAGGCGAGCTGTTGTGGATTTTAGTAATTTTAGTGTCTTTCCATGGTTTAAACATTTTGTCTTTGTATATCCCCTCTGGCCACAGGAATTTATTTATTTTGAGTGCCATCAAACCACTTGAAAGAAGCTGTTAACAGCATGGTGTCTTGTATATACACTGCATTGGTAACTGTGCACCCTCCAATCCTGTGAATGAACATGAATTTCCATGCTCTGTAAATTGACTCATGCTAAATTAATTTTTTTTGTTTGTTTTTCTTTTTGCATAAAAACCATGCGATTAATGTGTGGAAGCAGCAAACACACGCACGCTTTTATAGGTGAATGTTTAGTTCCTGTTGATTTTTCTTCTGTGAGCATCCCTCTAGAATACTGGCAGTAAAAGCACACAGTCCTGTGGAAAGAAAAGACAGCAGAAATCATTGCAGAGTATCTCGTTAGAATCAGTTCCGTGCCTTTCCCTGACTGAACAGAAATGTTCTAATTGGTGGTATGGAATTCTGCAATAGGATAAATCACACTTTCTAGGTAGGTAATGACATTAGCTGAGCTCCCAGCACGAAGGGAAAATGCATCCACAGATGTCCACATTGCTCATGAACCAATTTACAAATAAGTTTGCAACATGCTGCATTTCATCACCCCAGACAAAGTTCCAGCTCATCAGATCCGATGATGATAAGGAGTGAGTATTCTCCATAACAGAAGGAACAGCATCATCTCCAGAATGAGAGCGCTGCTTCTTTCACAGCACGTTTGTGTTTATTGTTTGCAAGCATCCCCACGGTGATCTAAAACTTGCATTCCCTGCACAGCCACCTCTGCTCAGGGAATGTCGCCCACCCAAAACCAGTCATGCAGCCATACACATAGGGACAGCACATTTGCTACATCTCCTGTACAGCAGCAGTGCCTTGCAGCAAGGAGGTGGGAAGCAGAAATACAAACACGCTGGCAAACAGGAGCTGGAAGACCTGTGGGCTCCGCAGCGCCTGGACACGGGGGAGCCTGTTTGGGAGGCCAGCTTGCACAGCGCGCGTGGGATTTCGGCTGGTGTGGACATGCCTGTTTACTAATCAGGCCACAGGTTGACACGCGTTCCCCAGGAGTGCTCACGCTCCCCTTCTGTGATGCAACAATCCATCCTTTCCCACACTTATGGGTGATGTAAATCTGTCCTGCCGCTAAAAGCCGCCTGTTCTCATTGCAGCACTCACACCGGCTCGCACGGTGCTGTCCTGCAGAATTGCATGCAAAAGTTCTCGGCTTTTCCTTTCAACTTGTGTTTTGCAATGGGTTTATATGCAATGGTGACTAAAGACATTTTTACAGCATAATCTAGCTAATGTGATTTTCTCCAAACATTCAAAGGAAAAGCAACACCTCTGCCTCCCAAACAGGTTTTTTTTTAATCTTTTGTGACCAGAATAAACTGCTTTCCTATCAGAATCCCCTGCCTGTGGAAATACATGTGCTTCTTCATTCAAATAAAGTGTTCTCAATAGACTCTTGACTGGCCTCACAACTACTTAATGCACATTTGGTCATGCTTATCATATCAACGTTTGGACCACAGACATTAATCTTATGGGACAAAGTTCCCCCCTGAGCAAAGGCTTGTTATGTAAGGAAGACTCCTCCCGAGTTCCTTGGGGGCTCTAGCACAGAAGAGCTACATACTGGAAATCACAGGAGAAGTACATCAGCAGTCATGGGAGCAAATCTGTTTCTGAGGATCTCAGACTCTGGCCTTCTGAAGGTCAGAATATATTTCATACATTAGGCAAGGACTGCCTTATTAATGCCATTTTATTTTAAAATTAAATGCTTCTCCCTTATCCCCAGTGAGTGTTGCATCACACTTGTATGCCAGCAGGCTCTTTATCTGCACTGCTTACAGGGTTCAATGCCCCATCTTGCCTTCAGTGCCTTTGAATTCACAAATTTCCACTGGTTTCCACCTGCAGACGGACAGTGGAGAAACACAGGAGCCAGCCTGGGACACAATTTCATACAAGTAGTACCATCCCTTTGGCTTGCTTTCCTCCCATAGCTTTGAGCTCAATGAAGGAGAAAGACATGCCAAAAGAACCACCTCCCTTTTTGAAACATTAAATATTTTATGAGTATGTTGAGCAGCAAGCCACATGAAGTGGTATTATTCTATTAGCAGACATGGCAAGGGTCTAAATAAAAGCTGGAATTCAGTGATGGTGCTGGGTGGACGCAGTAGGTGCTTACCAGATGCTGAAAGCATGCCAGTCACCTTGCAGCACTCACTCCTTCGGGCTTGATCCTGTAAAGCCCTCAGCTAGATCCCACACACCGGGTGCCACTCAGCTCGAATGGCACTACTGACACACACAAGAAAGCCCCTGCGGACGGATGGCTCTAGGGGTACCTTACATTACAGCAGAGGGGACTAGTGACTCAGGAGAAACTCTGCTTCTGTCCTTTACCTCCAACATCACTATCCGGTATGTTTTCCAGGTGCTGTTTATCCTATCTATACCAGATGTATAGGAAAAGGATAACACATAGACTTACACTTCATTAATTCTTCCTCTGCCCAATTCCTAAAACCCACCGAAGCTAAGAAAAGTTCTGAGTAGAAAAAAAGACATTAACGTGGTAAACATACACTTGAAGTCATGGCTGACTGACCAGCATTGGTAGACAGAGACTGGCTTCTGCCGTATTTACAGGCACATTTGCTGTGTGACTACAGCTACGTGATGAGACAAAGCAGCCTCTGGCTTCACAGTGCACCAGCATGCTGTTACACACCCACTGCAAGGGTGTCTTAGTCTGTGCATTTGGTTTTAATCTGGGAAGCCCTTACATTGTCAGCTGCTGTTTTGTTACAATCATTAAGGCTGAATCAGTAAAATTCACAAGAAACAGTTGGTGAGGATTGTTTATTGGCAAATATTGAGACACTTCAGTGGCTCTTAGAAGGATTTTGACTTGCATAACTGCCCTCAGATCACATGCCTGGCAGTGGCAGAAGCCTTTCACTCCCAATGGATTTACTTGTGTGCAGATCCTTTGCTATTTGTGTTTAAGGTGACTTTTAGGAGTAGAAAGTGCCATAGATTACAGACACTACACTTTGTAAAACTCCCCAAAATCTTACACATGCCTCTGATATTGCTTTGCTTTATGTTCCAAGAAGTAAAGTTTATTTTCTATACATGAACTTAAGGTTGTTTTCTGCTTACAAGATCAAGGGCCATCTACTCAGCTTTGCAGCTTGAAAGCAATCTCAAGGTAGCAGAAGACGAGCCATTGCACAGCCCAGGCACTAGTCCCCATGCTGCACAGCGCTGTGCTGGCAAAAGACTTTAGCAATGGAAGAAAATTGATCGCACTGACCGTTCAGTGGTTGGCTTTCGGCTTTCACGAGTAACTTTTCTTCTCCATGTGTCTGACTTCTTTCTTTGTCTTAACCTTATAAGCTTCTCCCTGCTTTAAAGGAAAAGTATAGACATTAACATGGTCTGCAGAGAGCACTCACAATTATAAACCTGCTTTCCAAAACAGGCTCCACATTTTGCTGTAACAGGATAAGTAAAAAGCAGTTAACTCACATTAACACTTCATTTCAAAGATACACACAATCTACTTATCCACTCTGCTGAGCTGCGAAAGCACAGGCCTGGAATATCACCTTCAAGTAGAAAGCCAGGTCTACAACTTCAGCATGGGCTTTGTGCTGGAGTGTGTGAGCCCTCGGGAGAGCCCATCAGTGGCAGTGGGATTCAGCACCACCGCCAAGGAGAATCACTTTTCCCAACTGGCCCCCTTGGGTCAGCTGGGTTCAGTGGACATTTCCAATAGCATAGACCACGGCTGCTGTTTTTATGCTTCACAACATCTGTGCTTTGAAGTAGGCAGGTTAGTAATGGAATGAAGGGAGGAGGAAGAAAGCCAGCAAAAACCACTACCAAAGCAGCGCAGAAGTAAAACCAACGACGGTGATAAGCAGCGCAGGTTTCAGTGTCTTTTAAACAGCAAGCCCCAAAATAAAGTTCCACTTGCTCATTAAAAGTAGCTCAATAAGAATCTAAAAATACATACTCCAGTAATCAGAAGCCTCATTCACATCAGAGAAAGGCATCTGTTTGTGTGTGATTATCTGCAGAATTTACCCCTCAGGTGATCTGCATTGATGTATCTGTAACTATTTGTAGTTTCTGACTAATCTAATCCTGTGCAGCAATTGGAAAATGTTTCCCCTTTGCTGGGCAGGATTTTTTTTTTTTCCCCCCGATAAAGGACTACAAAAGGGGAGATGGAAAGATGTTTGTTTCAACTCTCCTATTTCTGTGTCGTAGTCCCCTGACTTTTTTTTTTTTTTAATGTTTATTGCCAGCAGATAAAAAGTATTTGCTGTCTTTGTTTCTGAATCTGTTTTCACTCAGACAAAAAGTCCATTAACGCCAAAGACTACTTTACTGGAGCACAGACCTGCCAGCCGGCCATTTGTCTCCAGAGGTGCTGCCTGTTCCCCCGAGGCCTCCTTGGGACAGAGGACAGCCTAGGCACAGCCTGCCCATGCCTGCCCATACCCCTGGAGCCCCCTGCAAGAGGGGCTGGGGCATGCTGGGGCAGAACAGACCCGCCCTTCTCACTGCCCTCCCTTATTTTAGGGGTGTCGAAGCTGGGCAAAGCCCAGCCCTGCAGAAGGGCTTCTGATTTTAATCACCAGGGACAAAATTCTGTCTTGGTGCTTGCTTGTACAGGACACCATTGCTTGTCCCCTGAATCCTGCAAACCCTCAGTCACTAGCACAGGGGTATCACACAGCTGGGCAAGAGTCTGGTGGGGACCAGACCGCGGCTCATTTCTTTCGGCTGGTGAAAAAGCCACACATTACACCTATGGGTGTAAGGCACACATTCTGCAAGGGCTTATCCAAACCCACAGACATGGCTCATCTTGGTGGCAAAAAACAGGCCTCAAACGGATGGTTTAAGCTTGCTACCTGTTACACAGAAAGAGAACTTAATGCCGACAGAATTCAGCTGGGCCCCCTTGACACAGCCCCCGCCCGCACACAGCACCCTGCCCCATTACCTAAACACACAACTTGTCAATAACAGCAAGCACCACACTTTGCCAAGGCTTCTTGTTAAATGCAAACCTCTAGCCCTTCAGCAGCACTTTCTAGCAGTCAACACAACCCTCTGCGGCTACTGTTATTTCCTGGCAGCCCCCATGCCATTACCATTTCACCAGCTTTCCTCTCATGGGGGATAACAACACGTCTTACTACCTTCCGGGTGATCTGTGGGAAGCAATACATGAAAAGTATCAATTTTTTTTTTTTGCCTACATTCTAAAGGGACAAAGTTTGTTAAAAGAAGTTACTTGGACGCAAATACTCAGAGAGTGATGGTAATTCATAATTACTTTTCTCGTGATGACGTTGCCTTCTTCATCAGTAAACTGTTCCTCAGTTACAGATTCACCAGGAATGTTTTTTGCTTCCTCACCCTAAAGAACGTGTTATAAGATTAGCAATAAGGTCTATATTCTGCCAAACCCACACATATTTCCACACCAATCCAAGCAACAAGCACATGCTAGCTTCAACTTTATGTAACAGATTGCTTTATGTCACACAAATAGTATGAAAGCCTTGCTTATTTAGCATGCCAATACCTGTGCATTTATTCTACAGAATGTGTCCTTAAAGCCTGTAGTGAGCTTCTAACACATTGCTCTTATTAACTAATTCATGACATGAAGCTCTCTGGGCAACAAATCATCTTGCGGTCAGTCTGAGTCCTATGACATGGAGGCACAAATTCATGACGATAAAATCTCTAATCAGACATCCATTAGGTTTTCACAGCTTCTCAGTGCCAGCACACAGAAACATGGTCTAACACCAAAATAAGGTGGGGGAAATTTAGGATGTAAAAAGACAGGTCTGCCTATAGCTCGCTGAACACAAGATCTTAAACACATGCACAAAAGACAAGACTTCTCAGCATTTACAAAATGATATCTCACGTGACACTTTTCCTGTCTTGGTAATGCCTGCTGCCCTGCCAAAGAGCCTTGACAGCCTGGTGCACGACTTACTGAGATCAGCAGCACTCCAGCCATTGCTTCTCGCAGTACCAGCAACTTATAGGACAAGCGTAAATAAATGTAAAATAGCAGTTTCCTAATTGCTATGCTAGTGACTTAATACCACTATAAGAATTATTGCTCAATTTATAAATAAATGATGTTAGAGTCTAAGGCTAGCTGGCAGTCATTAACTTATGTTCCAGAAGAACTTTGACCATTTTACCTCATCATGTTTCCAAACATTGGTGCTGAAGTAAGCATTGCTTTTGATGCTTCAAAAATATGCATCACTATGCTTATTTATTTCATACAAATAAAACAAATATAATAATTATGTAGCTGGCTTACATATGAAAAATTTACACATGTAAATGAACAACCCTTTGACCACACAAAAAAAATCGTTATAACTTTTCTTCTCCCCTTACCCTCAACCTGCTATCGAAAAAATGTCAACCAAAGGGAGGGAGCAGAAAGAAACATTGTACAAAACATGTTATATCAATATTAACAACAAAATAACATTTGAAATAAGATTATTACAGCTCAACAGCTCAACATCAAGCCTTCATAATGCTTCCACATAATGCAGCACAGGGCAAATACAATTCCTATTTTCTGTGGCCTATATGCTACATAGTTGTCTGCATAAGCTCCCGGCACTGCTCCATAATGAATAAATATAGTGATGCCATGTTTATTTTTTAAACTGTTGTCCCTACAAACAGCTTTTTCAATATGTACATTATAACATTAGGTTTGTATGCTATTTCTAAGCTCTAAAGTAAGTAAACCTTCCCTTTTGTTTACAAGCCATTTGTGGTCTTCTCCATAGCTAAGCTTTTCCATTTTTATCACTTTAGAAGGACTGCAGGAGACAGAAGCCAGAGGGAGCAGAGTATAGCTCTGCAGCTAAGCAAGCCCCCAGTCAGCTTTAAGCATTAATCAAGTGCAGAATTTTTTGCTTATTTCATATTGAAAGCTGTATCAAAATCACTACTCCATAATTAAATAATTAAATAGTTTCAAACAGTTTACATGTCTTTATCCCCTCGCTTTCATAGGCAATATATAATATCTGTAAGACTTGTTCAACTTTGATGCTTCAGGCAGCATCACAGTGAGAAGGGCAGGCTCCATGGCCAGGAGGACGTCACTGCGTAGGGGCGTAAGGATGAAGCTCCACATCTGAATACACCTGGGACTTAAGTGACCTAGCTGAGGTCCCAGAGCAAGGACACAGTGGCATCCCTAGAAGACTCATGGCATAACAAATAGCTGCGGAAGTCTTCAGATTGAGCGCAGGCTGGGCCCATACTGTTCATTCTCCAGAAGGGCTCTGCCAAGGGCTCAAGGGACTGCTTAAGCACCGATGTCAGGCTATGTGCAGGATTGGGGAAGCAAGAGCCCGCCCACCGCAGTGAGTGGGGCCCCAGCAATGGCAGCCTGGTGCTTCCTTTCTCATGAGCAAGAGAGCAGAAATGAGAAGGGCACAGGGACTGCTGCTGTGGCAGTGGGGTGATGACTGGGCAAAGGTTTTGGGAACTGAAAACTGAGGGGTTTCCTAGCCACAATAAAATGGGGGGAAACACTGATCCTGGAGACTTAATACTTTAATCAGAAGCATAGCAGATGAGGAACTAGCTGCACAGTTTCTTCCCTGGCCTCCCACCTGCGGGCTCAGAGACACCGCAGCATGCTCCCGCACGGTGCCCTAAGGGACAGGAGAGAATCCTGGCTCAGATGTCACTCCCACCCCATGGAGCACAGAGGTGTGGAGAGGATCCCTCCCATGAACAGGATCTCCAGAGCCACTACAATAGAAACCATGAAAAACAGAAACAAAACAACAGGGCCAGTAGCAAGGACACAAGACTAGCTGGCACGCCAACACTGCACAATACTGCATGTGTGTACTGGTCCTTTGGCTCCTTACTGACACTACGAGCATGGTTATTCCTTAAAACAACACAGTGAGAATTACTGTGTTCAGCTTTAAAATGAAAAATGTATTGATGCACTGAAAGATGTCTCTTGGATGAAAATGCAGCTTTAAAGGTATGGTGAATCTTGGTTTTTAATTAGCTACATGCTCCTTTAAGCACAGTTTAAGGATAAATGCTGTAAATACTCAGAAGTCAGCACACACGAAATCCAGCTTTCACAATTCTCTTGCTAGTGGGTAGTTAAACAAATTGCAGGAGGGCTCACAATTAGCAGGAGGTAGATCTCATTTACTGACATTTCTAATCCTATGCAGTTATAAAGACGGATGCTTGCTAGGAAAAAAAAACATACCCACTGGCAGTTTTACTTGTTGGATCTCAAATCAGCTTTGGGTTAGAATGGCACATTACATGACCTTCTCAACAAAAGCTGTTTTTTAAACACAAAGCTGGTGCATCCGCATCACAGCTAAATAATAAAATTCTTTCTGCTTCATCGTACTTATGTGGGCTTCATTTTACTCTTGACCATCTGAAATCACTGTCACAATACCAGGGGCTTTAGAAAGGCAGGGAGAAAACTTATACCGAGATTACTGGAAGCTTGGCTATATCCCTGGGACTAAACAATAAAAAGGCTGCAGTCTGCAAGCCGCAGCCCCAGAACATGCCAGGAAGCTTTGCAAAGCAGTGTGGGTTAATGTCACTCTGCTCGCTGGAGTGTAGTCCTGCCAAAAGCAGTTGGTATCCTCTCTCTGCTGCTCTCCAGGACAGAGCAGCAAAGATCAGCTTCCTCAAAGTCTTCTGCCAGCTCCACTGATTTTCTTAACAGTTAGTTGCAGACTATGGGTGTTCCCAGGGACCTCCAGATAAATGGAGTTATACAGTTGGTGCTGCTGTATTGTTCCAAAGTTCACTGCAGATTTGTCAGAGCTCTGGTTTTCTTTCATGTTTGTTTTGTTACTAGAGGGATAATTGTCCCTTTTATTCCTCCTGTACATCTAGTGTTGTTGTAACAGCGGAGAAAAAAGGTGTGGCTGGATGTCTCTTACCCAGATGGGTAAAAAGGAATTTAAAAGCAGATGGAAATAAGCAAGATGGAAAGAACCTAAATATTTAATTTCACCAAAGACCAGGGGCAATGCTGCATTGGGAACAGGAGCTGTACACAGTGCTCAGACCTCTTCCCTTACTGGTGTAAGCCGCCATCAAGGCATAATACTTTCAGTCTCGAGATCACATTCTTGTAATGCATAAACAGCAGCTGTGCCTCGGTCTCCTTGGGGTCTTGAGCCTCTGTGGCATAGGCAGCAGAAACAAACATCTTTCATTAAGGTAATTTTCATTGGCAAGTTCTGCCTACTCAGGGAGACCGTGTTAATCAGGTGCCACGACTCTCCACCTGTGCCCATGCTGAGTCTGTACTTGCTTGTTTGCAGATGTATTGCTAAAGCCATGGGGAGGTGTGGGGGGAGGAACTCCAACAAACCAACAAGCAAGCCAAGGAGACCGGAAAGGAGATGGTGCCACAAATGGGCTGAGGATAGTCCAATACTGGGACCTGGGTCGTCTGTTGCTTGCTGCATGAAGGGCAGCAGGATGAACAGACCTTAGAGCAGCACTTGTAGTCTGTGTTTTACCTCACCTCTGTGTTATCTTACTGAGGCCGGCAGCTCCAACCCTGCCAGTCCCTCCCAGGGCGAGGGCACTTATGGAGCTGAGCAATTCTGCAGCAATTCCAGCTAGGGAGGGACGGCAGCAGAGAGGCTGCGTCCAGCTGAATACACAAAGGGAAACACTTCCCATGTGTCTCACATGGGGCACAGGCCCTTAATTATTCTCACCTACAGGATGGCCACATTTTCATTTTCCATAAATAAGTTTCCTCTGAATAATAAGATCATGAAAGCTGCCGGTTTGAATTTTCACTGACTGCTGCTCAGGCTCCTGTGCCACTCTTCCAGTGCAGGCTGAACCAAACCCTCCACAATCAGTAATGGGGGGTTTCATGGGCAAAATGCATGGAAGGAGACAAATAAATCTTTAATTAAATTTGGCAAGAAATAAAGTACAAGACACAAAAATTACATCAGATTTGAATAACCCCTGCTTGTAAATCTGTTTTATTTTCCATTACAAAATTCTACCATAAACCTTTTGGCAAGAATCTTACTAAACAGTTTTTGCCAAAAATTTGTACCCATGAAAGATTTAACAACCTCTGAAAAAGCATGAAAAATTGGACACTGATTTCTGTCATGACTGAATAAAAGGAGCTTTGGATCAGGCTCTGAATGTGCACATTGTGGCAGCACTCTTATTTTTCCCTTGTGTGTTAATTGCTCGCATTTCTGTGCTTACCATAAAAACCCGTTTCTTTTGCAACGTCCTGTCCCATCAATCTGCCATGTGAACAGAAGAGGGGAAAGGAAGCAAAAATAAAAACATCTGCACTACCTTGGGGTTATAATATGATTCTATTACATGTGGAAATGGGCATCAGTCCTTGCTTGTCTGGTTTTATGGGCTCAGCCCTCTGAAGTGCTAAATCCTATGGGAATGTGCTCAAGAGTGCTGAACACTTGACAGGACTCAGCTCTTGGACAGCTGGGAAAATACCTCTGGGGGAGAGAAAGCCTTTCTCTATATTTGGGCCAGGACAGAGAACTAAGGTAGCAGTTAAACGGAAATAATAGTGTTAGCAATAATGCAGAATGGCACTGAAAGCAAAAACAAGTTGGGAAAGAAGAACAAAGCTAATGAAGCAATTCAGCCCTGACAGTAGCTGTGGAGGCACATAGCAGAGCCTTTTCCACAGGACTCAATTTATCCTCGAGGTTTTGGCATTACCAAACTTTATCCCTGCAGGCTATGTGAGTACCTCTGTTCCTTTTTTATGCAACATGCAGGCAGTAATGAATATACACTATGGCAAAACAATGCAGATCCCATGTGCAGCTCTTCCCAGCAGAGCCTCTAAACGCATCATCGTCACCTCCCTGCTGCTGCTCTTGGCACAAGCCAGCAGAGTGGGCTCATGGCATGGGCACAACACTGCCATACATTTACGAAGTTTGTGCCCAGGATTTTCAGATGTTCAAAACACTTTTTTATTCCAGAGAATGCAAACTCAGCAAAGATCTCCAGGGCTGGCTCCTAAGCAACCATACCATAAGACAATACAGGATAAGCACTCCCCTGGTCCCAGCGTGACTGCAGAAAAGCACTGGGGCATTTCATCACCAGTGTGTGGCTGACTTGCTGCCTGGGGAATGGGGGAGCTGGATGGAAAATGTCCCTGCCTCCTACTCTGCGTCGCTCCTTAACAACTACTTGGGTAGCCAGGAGCATCAGAGAACAGAGGAGCAGGAAAGCCTGATTCCCCTCTCGTTACCAGTCCACATGAGCCATGCCAGCTCCGCTCTGTGCAAGCCACAGAGAGGGGCACAGTGGCTGTGGGGTCAGGCACAGCACTCGCTCACCGGGTCCATATCCCTGCCAATGTAAAAGCTCAAGTCCTCCATTTCATACCACTGTTTCATGAACTTTATGTGATCAAAATATACCTAATGAAATGGTTGTTTCTGCTATCAAGCTCTTTGTCTAAAAGGCCTGACAATCGCTGCTCTGAAAATTTTTCTTGTTCTGTTTTCAGCTTGTCTTGAGATACAGAGAGAGGAATAAAAAAGAAGCTATAAATCATGGGAAAATTACATAAGTATCACATGTATTTTCTAATGAAGAGACAGGTAGAGCTGTAACCCAGTTCAAACCAGACATGTTCCCACCAGAGCAGGTTCAGCTGCCTCCACTCACCACGCACACCCTCCCAACTGCATCTGCACTAGCTGCAGATATTACAATCCTATATACTCTGCTTTACCATTGCTCTTTTAAAAGTTCAACTCCAAAGTATACCACCACATTTAAAACCAATTCTCTATGCCTTTTGCTAAACACAGTGGATGTCCTTGGAAAGCAAAGGAAAGCTGCCTTTTTCATACTTCCTCTTTTCTGCTCTGACATTTCCTGACTCCAAACCAGTGGACACTAAAGTAGTTCAGACATAAATTTAGTGGGGGAACTCAGCCACAGGCCAGCTCTGCAGCCTTTAAAACTTTCAGCATGCAGATGCTTTATATCTTACCAGAAACACTCTTAGAGCATTTGAGGGTCTGTAATCGCCCATAGGCCACCTGCCCCATTTGAAAACAGAAACCATATTCGTATTTCTGACCAGTCACGTCTTATCTGCAGAGGGAATTACACCCTTTCACAGAAGGCAGCAGGTTCTGCCTGTGAAGATGAGGCTTTGGACAAAATATTCCCATCTACTGAGCTCATTTTTGCAATTCCTGCCTTGTCCTGAATGGGAGCATGACAGACTGAAGAAATTCAGGGTGAGGACAGTCAGAAATGTCACCCTGCCTTTTCCAAAAGCATCTGTATCTTGGAGAGATCAGAAGCTGTGCAGCGCAGCCTATCTGCCATTCGCATTACAGAAATTAGTATGAGTACTCTTCTCCACAGAGCATGCAAATAACAGCAATACAGATACATGCCATCAGAGCATCACGAATCACTCCTGAAGTAACAATTATAATTATATTAGGCAAAATCAGCTAGTGCTGCAATAGCACTACGGTGGCTGGCTGTTTTTTTCATGGCTTGACTATATGATTTTCTAATAAGAATCTAATAAACTTTTTAAGTTACTTGGAGATTAACATAATGGTTTCCAATGCAGAATTGTTTTCTCATGCTATATGCTGCAGGCAAATAATGCCATACTATATGACTATAAGAAAAAATATGAGGGCAAATGCAATTATTTGTATGACTATACCATTTTAATCAGTACACAGAGTATATTGTGCTGTAATTATTTACCATCTGTAAATATACTAAATAAAACCTACTGAAGGCAACATAAAGACTCTTATTAACTTTGGTAGGTTTGAAATTGGGATCACCTGCTCTTTTGAGGAGGTTTTCCAGAACACACTAAGCACTTAGGACTGCAAATTTCAACTAGAGTACATGGCTCATGCTCTCCTACATCCCGCTTGGGTATGTCCCTCCAATTTTTTAACTTGTAATTTAGAAATTTTTTAAGAAACAAAAAAAAAGAAAAAAAAAATTCTCACCCATATCTGTCTGCAATTCATTTTCCTCAACATCAGACCAACACACTGCATCTAGCTGTAGTCTTTAAGATGCCATGCAAAACAGTGGCAGTGAAGGACACAATGTACCATGCAGCACAGTTGTTTTCCAGCAGAAGACAACCATAAACCTCTAGGTTAAGCAAGGAAAGGCCACCTAGTATTCAGTTATAAATACACACTGGCAATGGAAAGCACACTACCAGAGGGACTCCAGTATGCCAAAACTGACATTCTGATACAGCAGTCCAAACCCACGTCCATGCCAACATCGCCTCAGGAATGCAAATCACGAAATACCTTCAGAATCAACCGCCGTCGATAAACTCTTGTAGTAATTCTCTGCTCCTCATCTGAGCTTGAATCACTCTCAATCTCACTGTCACTGTCACTACATTCCTAATAAATGCAGTTTTAGTACATTTGAACAGCACATTTGCAAGACAGAACATGCTGATCAAGACTAGGAGAAGAAAACAGAGGTTATAATGGACAGTGTTTTTCCTGTCTCTATTATGTACATAATGACTCGCAGCTTTGCTCTTAAAGTATATGGTGGGAGGAGGCCTTTTTGCTCCTTGGCATGCTGTAGCTTGATAAGCATACCAGGTATGGAATATCTCAGCAGGTCTTAAGGCTTAGAAAATGGTATTTGGAATGCATCTGACCTGTGGAATTTCTAAATCTTACGTAGTTGTTAAAAATTTTGTGCACAAAACACCCCCCCTTGTCATAACTTCATGCTTTTTTCTCCTCAAAAATTAATGTTTTGAACAAATTGTATGCATTCACAAGGAATGGGAAGTGAATTCCCTCCTAGAGAAAGATGACAGTCACACAGAAAGATTCAGCAGAGCACCTCCACAAAGATTACAAATAAGGATTTTTAAGAACTTCTCCATGTAATGGCTTTGCTGCTTAGTATTTTTAGTATTTTTTAAGAAGGGAACTGGTACACCTCAGCTCAGGGCGAGGGAGAGCAGCCTGGTGCTGGTCTCAGCTTGGTGCCGGAGGAACCACAGCTGCACGCAGGTGTCTGCTCCCTGCTGGCACCCTCTGACAGCCCCAATGTTTTCCCCTCTGGAACCTAAGGACCTCCTCAGCTTTGGGGCTGAGCAGCTCTGTGTGCACGTGCCTGACAGAGGGCTTCATACCTATATGTGCGACGGACACAAGGCAAAGGCCCTTCTCACATGATAGTTGGCTGAGCTAACCTTTTTCTGAATAGAGAAATTTGAAAATTTTCTCCGCAATTACTCAATGACATCCCCAAATTAATTTTAAAGTCATGAATAGTGGAGATTGCTAACTGCATTTCTGTTTCTCTTTTTGAATCTAGCCGAAGACAACCCAAACAAGAAGCATTTCTCAGAACTGATGTGTAAAATAAGAGTAGGCATAGGTGGGTAGAGGAGAAAAAGGACTATATAATGAAAAGCATTCAGGGCAGGATGACAGTATTCATCTGTGTGTAAAGTCTCTTGCTGTCCTCTGACAGTAGCCAAATACATATACAAAAAAAATTTTAATCCAACCCTATCCTGAAGAAGTAACAAGAAGCAGGAGGAGATTCCCAGAGGGCACGAAGGTTTTGAAGAAGGAGTTATTTTTAATAAATTGCTTCAAGTGGTTTATTTGTGATGGAACTCTGTCACTGAGAGTCACCTTGACGACACAGTAGATGTCACCCTCTTTGGGATAATAGAGCAACTGTGCTGTGCTCCTCTTATTTAAAAAGATCACTGGAACCTCATGCTTGAGCATGCATAGAAAATTACATGGCCTACCCTGTCACTGCACTGCTTTTGTACGCTTTTGGGCATTTACATGGACTTGGGACGAGGCTAACAATTTGTTTCATCCACGTCACCAGGCAGCAGCCCAATATCAATGGTCTGTGTTTCTCTCTTGTTGCAAACTGTGTGCCGAAACACTGACGCAGCCCTCCCTCTGCAGGTGGATGACTTGCTTCTTTGCTCTTTCTCAATGGGCCATTGAAAAAAATCTCTTGCTTTGGGAAGTAATTTTATTTTGTTCCCCCTTTCTTTCCACAGAAATAAATTTGTTTCTTCCTTTTTTTTTTAGAGCATTTATGAAGAACGCTTTGCAGAAAAACTGCCATTGAAATTTTCTGTTTTCATGACAGCATATTAAGTGTCTCATCATGAATTTGACTGTGTTAGTAATTGAACAATTGACCTCAAATTAAATTATATTAGAAGATATTCTTGAAGAAATATTGACAAGATATTAGAAGCAATTCTTTTTGTCATTCCAACAAACACTAGTTTGTTACCCATTCAGGCTTTGTGAGAGACCCATGTTTAGAAAACGCATTCTTTTTTGATACCAGTTTATTCAAAGATCATGTCTATAGAAAGACTTGTTATTTAGAGGATAAGATTATCACCCTTTACCAATAAAGCAAAAGTAGTGCAAAAAGCATGCATGTGAAAAGCACGCACTTATTCTTCCCAATCCACATGGGCTATCCAACAGCAAAGAGAACACAAAAGTGGGTGACAATTTATCTTCTCACCGATGGAATCCAGAGGGGGACGTGCAGCACTGTTGCACAGCCCCAGAACATTACAGTGTGCATCTACCCTTATCCCTGCATTTAAACTGAGCACAATAATATCAGACTGAGGTCTGCCCAAAGCCTACCAACACTAAAGGAACTCTGCCATCTGCCTTTAACTGCCTTTGCAGAAGGCTCTTACTTACATTTTTAAAGTATTCCAGTAATTAGTGAACGTTAGGAAAGATCTTCGCTGCTTCAATGGTGTCACGAACTAATAACAAGATAATAACAATCATATGCTGCATAACTGCTGAGACTATGTTGCCATCTAATAAAAGAACTCTTGGCTGTATAATCGAAAGAATAGTTTAAAATGAACTAATTTAAACCTGAATGACTTATTGCAGCCCACTGCAGCCAACATTTTCATTGTGCTACAATAAAAAAGGTGCTATATCATGTAGAAGCAATTCTACTGAAATACCTCGGCTTCCAGAAGTTATAATCTCCTCCAGTATTGCACCCGGGAAAAGACAGTCTCAGCAGAGAGAGAAATGTAGAAGAAACCCTGCAATTTCTTTTTTCAGCCTGGTTTCCTGCTGGCCCTGTTCCACGGCAACCCTCCCACTGCTGGGGTGCGAGGTGCACACAGTTTCGGGCTGTAAGCCTTTCTTTGAACCAACTTTATTTTTAAGCTTCTGGGAGATAAATGTAAGCCACTGAGAAAGCTATTAAAATCATCGTCAGAAAACAGCTTATTGTCTGCAGTTAAGTATGTACAAACCAGGCAAGGTAGAAATGAAGGGGAGCCCCCCTGCAGTATTTTAAGAAAGAATCACCACCTGGAAAAGCACTTTGCACATTTGGAAATATTTTTATTCCTCTTGGCTGGATGGACTTCGGAGTTGGGATGAATGAGGCCATGAAACAAAAAAGGAGGAGATTAAATATTACCCAAAATTTATGTTTCTGCAAATTAAAGGAGTAAAAAAAATGCAGGGGGTGTTTGGGACAAGGAGCAGGACAGAGGCCGAAGAGTCCCTGTATCTGTTTGCTCACTTCAGCATCACAAAAAGAGGGGAAACGAGTGGCATCACCTTACAGGAAACAACACATGGAGAACAGCTGAGTTGTTTGGCACTGTTTGCACAGGTGGTATGTCAGGGCAGGAAAAGAAATGTGGGACAGCGATCCCAGAAGCTGCTCTAACCTCTTCCAGGGCTCCAGGCCGTTCAGGCAGAGGATTATGCAGCCCTGCTTGGCTCCTCTGCCTGCCCCAACTCCATCTCATTCTATTCACGCTGCAGAATATAGATTTCCATTAACTTCCATTTTTCTTAGTTTAGGAATAAATAGAAAAGACATAAAGAATGATTAAAAAAACCTAAACCTATCACAAACAACGTTACAAGTCTTACAAAAAAATTTGTCAAGCAATATGTCAAGCAATAGGGACTCCTCACAGACTTAATAATTACAGGACATACTGTACCTTCTGTTCAGACATTACTGCTCCCTCCTCCTCTTGGATGCTTGTTCTTGGCTTGCCATCCTCAGAAGTACTCCAGCTCATCTTCTTCACACTGACAGGCACAGATGTTTTGTGGCCTTCTGTTGTTGGCTTGCTAGGTTCTTCCGAAGATTTCTGATATGCTGTTGATGATAATGTTTGCTCATCAGTACCAGCTGAAATTTGGGGCTTTGTTTTCAGGGCTTCCTTGTCACTCTGTTTTCCCACATCATTTAAGGATTCCTGGATGTAGGATTTAGTTTTCGTCTCTGCTGTGGATTCGGATAGGCTTCCATTTGTTTCTGCCTTCCCTGCTTCTCCTTTGACATATGAGGTAACAGAATCCCTACATTGGTCCAAGCTACAAGAAAAATAAAAAAAAAGAATAGACAGCCATTCAGTGCTTAAATCACATGCAGAGGGGCAAAACACTGAGCCTCGTACCAAGCCTTCATTGTTAGCACACATTTCAGACAGAGCAAAGTAAAATTTTAAATTCAGCTTGCAAACTGAATTCAATCTGTTTAATAGCTTTGTCTTCTGCATCATGGTATCTTTTCAGAAGTATCGAGAATCTGGAGAACATTAGAAACAAGGCCAAATGTTCTATGTTAATCCCCTTCTACTTGGGGGGGGGGAGAAAAAAGAGAAAGAAAAATACACAAAACCTACCATTTCCCTTGTATAATCATGAGATAAATCCCCGAGGCACTAACTCTTTAACCTGCTCTGTAACCAAGGAAGTGATGAAAGTGTCTGTTACTGTGCAATTACCAGTAATGATGAAATAATTAATGTTATTTTCCCCCCAAACTACAATATCTGTACTCCAGATAAGTCATGTCTTTTAAAAAATATTGGTGGCTGAAAATAAATCCTTAGACAGTGCAGTTTCAATACACAAAGCCAAAGGCAAGGAAGGTTACTACAAGACAGAAGGCTGACCAAAATTCTTCCTCAGATTACCTACGAACAGGTTTAACCTGCACTTCTGATGCACAGTTTTCTTCTTTTTTGCATTTTTGCTTGCTTTCAGATAAGCACTGCAACTATACACCTGAAAATACTATAGCCATTTGCTGGCAAAACTCTTACAAAAGATAGCAAATTGAATTCAACTAGTTAGAAATGGATATGTTATCTCCTTAAGGAAGCCCTTTTACTTCTAGAAGTGATTTATTTTGCTAATTTAACACAATATAAAATGTAGAATGACAATGCTTGCTTAACAGAACAGAAATCACATCAGTAGTAGATCAAGTGTTTTACAGTCCTGAAAGACAATCAGTTTGCTGAAATCAATGGCCAAATTCTGACTGGATTCCATAAGAGAGTATCTAATGGTACCTGGAACCTTAAAACATCCTGAGTCAAAGCTGCAAAGGATGTAAACTGCTGACAGACAAATGATCACTCTGCAGGTAATCATTCTCTGCTGATTTACAGCACATGCAGACCTAGTTCCTCTAATCAGTAATCATCGGAGCCACAGTCAAAACCAAGGCAGGCAGGAGCTCCTCACCCAGTGGGTACCAGTAGGACTGAACAACACATATTGTGAATGTTGAAAGTAGATCCAAGGGGAGACTGGAAAAGCTCATGCAAGAGAAATGCACTGAGGATAAATATGTAGAAAGCATCCATCTCAGCAGGTTATTATGCTGAAAGCAAGTGGAGCTTGGGAAAGTACTGGAGGAAAACAACATATGCATCCAGTCTCCTCCTTCCCTGAGCATCCTCTGTAGTCACTGTCGGGAGGCAACATATGGGACTAGACGGATTTGGTATCACCATTCTTACCTTCTTATGCTTTCTAACTCATCTCCTTGAAAGTCTAGTAAATCAGCATGACATAACACACTCAAAGTGTTGTAAAAGAACAGTGACAATTTAAAAATTGGCTTATGTAAAAAGTAATCTCATATACATATATAGATACTTTCACAGAACAGTGGAGCAGCTGCCTCACCACTGCTCCTGAAGGTAGAAGCAGCATGGAAGGGCTTGCTTACACATACACGCTCTTGTACAAAGACTCTTACCTATCATCCAAGCGATCTAGCAGGCTACCACCTATTCTGCGTCCCGATGTCAGTGGCTCGGTGACACTTGACGAGTCAGTCTGCCAACCTGTAATTGAAGACATTTCGTGTTCTGCTTGTTGAACACCTTTAAGAATTGACCATACTCTTTCTTCCGTCATCTCCTCAGACTGAGCTCCTTCTTCCAGATGAATGTCCTCAAAGAGAGATTTAAGCTTTTCTTCTGTCATCTCCTCATCAGTACCAGACTTCTCTCTCTCAGGCTGTTCAGTCCTTACTCCTGTTTTACTAATCTCTTCACTCTTCTTTCGTTTAGCATCTTTTGATAACCCATCATAACTACCAAGATACCGTGGAAAATCCTTAAGGTCCACTTCCTCCAACTGGCTCTCGCCTACGGAGATATCTTTAGGTGTTCCTTCTCTAGGCACTGAGAAATCAAGTTTGCTGTCATCCAGTGAAGTGTCTTCTTCAGTCACCACTGGCGGTGCTGCTGCTGTACCATCTACGTGTCCCTGGGAGGTCACTAACACATCACTCAGTCTACTAGGAGTTCTAAGGGGTGACTCTAGGCTAGAGGTGTCGCTAAAGAAATCGTCCTGATGGAAAGGGGTGGGCGGCACGAAGCGCAACCCAGTGGGAGTTTCCAGTTCCACTTGAATGGTGGGATAACCTAAGAAAGACAGCACATTTGGACTGACTGGGATGAAGCATGGAGCAACAAATAAGCAAATGTCAAATGATTCATGAGTTACATAAAGTATGAAACGTATGAGGAGGTGCAGGTGCATAAGAGCAGATGCAGTTCTGATAGCTTTCTTTGTCCTAAATATATGGAACAAAAAGTGAGTACTGCCAGTGAGTAGTACAGTGAAGCCAGTACTTTTGACTATTTTGTAAATAGTTTCTAATGATTTCAGCAGTTGTTTTTGCAGCCATTTTAACATTTTCGTGCTATAGCAGATTGTCTTATAAGCATGCAATAAATCAAATGTGGACAAGGGTGGTTGTCCATTTATATCCAAGACAATATCTTGCAGCCATATTGTGTAAATCTGTCTTTCCCAGTTTTTAGGTTTTTAAATTTGTAAGCTTAATAACTAGATTTTAAAGACAGAAGTACATAATAACATAGGACAGCCACTTTTTTGTCAGTAAGTATTATTTCTAAAATAGGTCCACATTTTTAATATACTTTTACATAAAAATATACAATACCAGCAATACAATGCTACTAATATGTATCTCCAATTTAACCATCCAGCCACAAGAATGGAATAGTTGAAGAATGAGGAACAGAAATGGATCCTAGTGAGGATACTAAAGAATAGTAGGTCTTAATACACAGGAAGATAAAAAACTAAAAAAGGAAGTTAGCAAAGGGATAGGAGATAAACACAAGATAAACACAACAAGGGAGAGCTATATGAATATTTCAGGTACAGTAAAGTTATACAGGTGAGAAGACTGTGGTGAGTAAGGAGGTCTTGCTGATCTTGGAGAGTGAGGAGATCTTGGTGACATGGGTACAATCAGATACACTGATCAAATAAAGAGAGAAAAGAAAAAAAAAGATGAAAACATGGGAAAACCACACAAACAGATTAAACTGAATTTAAACATAAAAATGACAAGAAAATCTGAAGTTCGCTTTCCAGCAAATGATAGGTTGGGCAACCTACGAAAGGAAAAAAATACATGCCATGGGGTTTACTTGACATTGTGCTGCCTGCAAAGGGAGATGCATTAAGAGGGTTTGTTTTTTTTTCCTTTTCTGAATCAGCTGAGAGAAGGGCAAAAGTGGTCTGGTCTTGGTGAGGAAAGGAAGCTTGAGGAAGGTTCAGAGAAGAGGAGAGACAGAAAGCGACTGCAGAGAGGCTTATTTTTTTTATAAAAACATTGATGTTACTATTAAAAGGCGCAAGCAACATTTCAAGAGCAACTTTCTTAAAATGTCAACAGAAAATTATTTCTGTAATGCAATGATTCAATGACCAGCAATGCTGCTCAATAATGGAGGTACACTGACTTTGTATGCTCTAAAGAAGAAAAATCCTGCTAAAATATATAGAAAGCCCAATACATACTTCAACAAATTACAAAAAGAAAAGGAAAAGTTACTTACAAAAGAAAAACCTTATTTAAGGAGCTATTTATAATACATGTGACAAAAATCAAAGTAAAAAAGGTAGCAACCCAGTAACCCAGTACCTGTTAACTAACATTTAAAAGAAGAAAAAACATTTAGCATCTTCAACACACAGATAAATAATTATAGCTATGGCCATTCTGTTTTACAAGCAGAGCTTCATTAAAAATATACATGGGCAAGCCTCAAAGCACAACTACTGCAGGAGAAAAACATTCAGGTCTTGTCAACTGACACTGAGGCTGGTGGGAACAAGCTTATGTAGGCACATGTTTGTGGGATCCTAGGCTTATTCTTTGATATATTAATGTGCAACATACATATCGTACCATGAGTGTGCTTTAGGAGAAGAAAAAACCTTCACATTAAAAATAATTACTTCTATAGAACTTACTGGCTTTTTAAAAATTCTAGTTTATACAATGTTGTACTATTGGACATGTCATTGAACTAAATACAACCATGGAATTGAATTACCATCAATGGGATCATGGAAAACATTATTTTCATCTGCAAAACTTCTGGTTCCTGAAATATTTCCATAATCAAATATTGGTCCTTCCAACAGGGTCACGATATCGATTCGGTTAATTTTTGTCAATACAGAAGTTAAGGCATCAGCTGAAAAACAAATAAGACACATCAGAAAAAAGTTCAGCATTGCAGAACTGTGTAATCATCTTTCTCAGTTACATTCACATTGCATTAATTATAAATTGCTGGCATATGTTTCTGTTCCACTGCCTTTGGTCCTAGCAAACCCCATCATTTGGCTAAGTAGTCATTCTGCTGAGTCTTCCCCCCACCCCCAAGTATAATTATATTACAACACAAAAGGCACAAAGAATAAGGTCAGAGAGTTCTTAAAGAATGTATTTACTTATAACTGAAACTAAATATGCTTTCATAGGAGTGTAAAAGGAGTGTAAAAATCCTTGTACCATTTTTTTCAACAAAAACCAGAATAGATATTCATGTAGGTAATAATGCATGTAAGGCTGGTCATGCAGTACATTGTGAAATATCATTTACAGCAATCTTGTTGCCAGAACACAATCATACTGGAAATTACTTTTACAGTGAAAGAGATCAAAGTAGACTCAAAAACTATGTAGGAGTGTGTGGATTAGAGAATAGTAACAAACACCATTGACCTAACACAAAAATAAAAACCTCTCTTTCAATTTGAGCAATCCAAGTGAAATGCACAGATAAAACCAGCAGAATCAGCACCTCCATCACTCCTCACAGAAGGAGGTTTAGTCTTTTCTTATGACCTGCAATACTGTGACACTACTGAACAGTTCCAGGTAGCCTATTTCCATGTTTCAGGTTCCTTGTTATTGGAAAGTTTTCCCTAATATTTTCTTCACTGAACTTTAAGTTCATTACTTGTCCCATCAATCATGGTTGTGGAGAACAGATTATTTCCTTCTGCATATATACTGAATAAATAAGACACATTTCTGACTTCTGGTAAAAATATAACTGACACTATTTTTTCCCATCAGTGGTTTGTGGAAGACATTCATAATGTTTTCTTCAATTTAACCTATTTAAAGCAGGCAACAGATGAAATGGACTATAACTTATAAACAACAAAAGTAACTACTTGAACTTACTTGTGGCATTTTTCCCATCTCTGGTAACCCATTTTTTTAATAATGTGAAGCTTTGAGCAATAAGAGAATTTGGGTTTTCCACTCGGATTTGATTTATTTCATCCACAGAAAAATTCAGTTCTCTTGCCAGTTCTATAAAAAACAAAAAACAAAACAAAAAAAAGCAACCAAAGAAAACAACGAAAACACCAAACCAAGCACAAATCCCTCAATCATCCTCTCAGGCTTAAAAATATTCTTAGATCACACAAATCTCAACAAAAGTACGTGTCGCAAATGGGTAACTTTACAGATAATGATGAACGCAGCATTATATACTCACACTTTAATTTCTTAAGACAGACATTATTTTGAATTTCAATTGTATCTCTGTGAGCTATTATCATATTTATACCCAATAAGCCACTTAAACATGGTGAAGAAAAGCTCCATGGAGACTAACTCATCACCTGTAATTTATAAAATCTGTTTTTCCTGGTGACTGTTACTCCATTGTGAGCTCACTGTGCAGCTCAGCATTGGCGCTGTCGTCACCTACATCCAGGGAGAGGTGGCTGCTGCACCTGTACGCTTGTGAAGGGCCAACACCGCCCATCATCATACAGCGGTACAGCAGGCATACAATCAGGCAAACCCCCACACAGCATCTACTTGCTGGGAAAATGCACTCCTGCAACCTCCAGGGCTTTCGGGAAACTGCTGTTCAGAGACAGAGGCAGCCCTGCACACAAGCAGATAGCTCCTCTCACCCCCCTGGGTGAACGTCTTGAGAGGAGAGCCATTTTAGCTATCTGATGTATTGCAAGACCATGAGGTAATTCTTTACAGCTATTTCCCATTAGGCATCTTTGCCCAGTGACAATTTGCATATTTTGGGAGGCTGGGCATACTGTGAATTCAGGAAAGCCTGATGCGGCCTTGCTGTGGCTTTTGGTAAAAGACTACCTGGAAACGTAATAGCAAAGATTAATTTCAATATTAAAGCAGAAAAGCTTACCTGTCCAGCTAAGTCCTAGGTGATCAGCTACAATTGCCATCCTTATATCTGTCCGTTCACATGGACTCTGAGGACCTGTGATTTACAATTTCTCGATTAAAAGGGTCTTACACAGAAAACCACAATACCGGATAATAGTTTATTATAAAGAATAGCTTTAATTTGACTAAGCTGCCGGTGATTATACTGTTTACTAGAATGGCTGTGTGTCCTAATAACCTACAAAGCAAATTTTTTTCACAGCTTTTATATTTTCACCTGTGTAAAGCCAAATGTCAAACTACATGATGTTGTGTAATGAAACAAAACATGCTGACAATCTAGCTCTTAGACTGTACATAAGGTGTTCAGTTACTGGTGGAAACCACCAAGACCAGATTAACATGTATTTTCTCTACTTTGACAGAATAAATTTGCTGTCACAAAAGAAGTCTTTCAATTTCTGAGTTACAAGAATATCTTTGGCATGCTTTACTAGCTTTCCTGCAGTACAGAATTTGTTTAAAGGAAGAAAGAAGAGTATAAGACAGCACATACAGATGACAATGACAGAATGAAAACTACAGTTAAGTCACTCCACAGGCAATCACAACAGTTCATGCACTAGGATCAACAAGTTGAAAGTTTTACAAACTAGGCTTGATCTCCACGAGGTGAGCCATGAGAGCTCCAGAAACCTGACTGCCTTCATTCTCACCAGTCCTCTTACTCCTCCTCCTCTCACTGTCGGCCTTTTCAATCTTTGATTTTATAGATGCTGCCTCTGTTCTCATGTCTCTAGCAGACTTCGATGTAATGGAAGGCTGGTAAACTTGAGTAGCTTCTGATATGGATGTGTTCCTTGATGTACTGTCTTCTTCATCATCAGAGACCTCTGACTGCATCTTTTTCTCTTCATCAGATAGACGATCCACAAGCTTTAATGTCTCACCACTAATTCCCTTAAAATATTCAGTAGATTGTTTACATACCTCCCTAAGCTGATTTTTCGTTACTTTAACTGTTGTCATGGTGACGGAGGTAGATCTTACCTTTACTGGTAATTTAGAAGGAAGCTGTTTTGGTTTTTCTTTCTCTACCTGCTCTTGTTTTGGCAGGGATGGAGTTCTTCTAGCCAGATTAGTCCTATGTGTATTTTTTACAGGAATCCTAGACCTTGCTTCTAGACAGGGAGAAGAATTATTTTGTTTTGCTTTGTCAGGTTTACTAGCCCCTCTCACTTTATTCCCTGTATTGCTTTGGAGATTATTTTGTGAAAAGGCTTCTTTTACTGAGCTGGCTTTTACAGGAAGCTTTGATTTTCCTCTAGCCCCTACCAACTCTGTTGACTTTTGCTGCTCTCCACATGGTTTTTGCTTATCTCTTACTCTGTGTCCTCGTGTTGTCCCTGTATCTTTTCCTGAAGTACTTTTCACTTGATTAGCTTTCTGGAGGGAACATTTTGGTTCCAGATGTTCTTTTAGCACTACCTTACAGGTAATATCATCTGTAGGGACAGCAGATGAATCCAAATTGTTGTTGTTATTAAAATTATCTTTTGGAAAATCAGTGTTTTCTGTTTGCCTACAGCTTGTCTGGCTAGAAGCTGAACTTGCAATCTCTGCTACAGTTTCATTTTCTAATCCCTGACCACTTGGCATCACAGCTTCTATCTTATCTGTCACTTCACCAGGGCCATCTTTCTTCAGAGTCATGGTGGAAGCAGAAATTCCCATTTTAATTGGTGTGCGCAATTTGGGATCAACTTTAGAAGCATTTACTGCTGCCGATGATTTTTCCAGTGAGTTACTACCAAGTGTTTGTTCCATGCAATCTCCACTGGCCTGGATGATGGGCTTATGTTCAACTGCTGTTGTTTCTACTGGTCTCTCTAGGTTTGTTTCTACAGTGTTGTCCCCTGCCTGTGGCTGTGTGATGGCAGTGACTGTACTTTCATCCCCTTCCCCCTTGTCCCCTGACTTCCCTTCAGAAGTATGCTCACCAATCTGAAAAAATTGGAGTCTTTCTTCAACAAAATCCCTCTTGCTCATGTCAATTGCACCACTGCGAGTCATCTCAAACATCTTCCCTTCATGAAATGGGAAGGGGTTGGGCTCGCTAGTTGGCGTACTCTCATCTGTTGGAGTTCTGGCTGGAGTTGTATCAGGTGTTGTTGCTTGAGATCTGTCTTCCACTGCCAGACCAAATGGCTTAGCCTCATCATCCCTTGATTTAGTCTCAAACACTTCATCGTCACCTCGGTTATTGGACCATGGATCAAAATCTAGACTTTTGGTGGCCACCGTTTTGAAAGGTGTTGCAAATTCTTCATCTACTTTGTAACTGAAATATGTATCAGGAAATACAGTCCTGTCAGGGTGTCTGCCTTCCAAAGTGAAAAACTGTGCCCCTGACTTCTGTGCGCTCTTATCTCCAGCTTTATCAGAAGCTGGACCCTTGGAAGGTGCCTTGTCTTCTTCAGGGCCTACCTTGCCTTCCTCCTCAATGACTTCAAGCTTACTCTGGCTAAAGCAGCGATCAGTCTGCTTTAGAATGCCTTCTGTAGTCCATACGTCCTTTTTGGTTTCAACTGCCGGACCTGCAAGTTTAGAATCACTCTCAGTTAAACCATCATCTTCATCTTGCAAATCATAACCGTCAAGAGAGTCAATCTCTGTTGCATCGGTATCATGGGAGAATTCTGCAGTGGTTGCTATGGAACACTCTGTGACAGACTGGTCATTGTTGTTCCCATTTTGCACTACATCATTCTGGGGTGAATCAAGCCCAATGTCAAACTCGTTAGGCTTCCCAGGAGTGGGATGTCCTAACTCTTTGTGTTTCTCAATCTTTTCAGGGGCTCTGTGATTTGAGGTTTCTTTCTGGTCATCTTCCAGTTCTTTCAGTTTGAACGTATACTTTTTAAGTGGAACAGGTTGATAGAGAGATTCATCATCACTGGAGTCGCTGACATCTGCTCCCGGTGGCACAGGAGACGGTGGCTGTACTCTTATGACGGGTTCAGCCAGTTGGCATTTGTCATGTTCATCTTGCAAGTTCACTTCTGTCATCTCCATTTCACTCTCAGTGGAATAACAAGGCTTCTTTTCTGATTCGCCTTGATCTGCATCCAGTGGTGGGGGAGGAGGGAATTCAATGTAGGCAACTCTGTTACCTTTGGGTCTTTTGTTAGAGTCCTTATTTATATGATTAGGTAATGCTTTGTCAGTCTGTGGTTCCTCAACTTCTGCCTGCTTTACAGATGTTGACTTAGCCTCTGCTTCCTCCTCTGATTCCTCAGATACCTCGGGTATAGGACTGGGCTTGCCTGGGATATAAGCTATTAGTGAGTCGGGTGTTTTAGATGTAAACTCGTAACTCACTTCCTCTGAACTCGGTGTTTCTGGTGTTAAAGGGCTTTTACCAGAGCTATCTATAAAGGACACTTGTTCTAATGTGTCATCTTCTGGACTACCTTGAGGAGAAGGAGGTTGCTTTTGCTGTCTAGCTGTGTAAAATGTCCCCCTTGTCTCTTGCACTGTCTTGCTCTCCTGACTGACAATTTTTTTAATATTCCCTTGTTGCACCTCTTTCTCATATTGCTTTCCTACTTGAACAAAACTGACATAAACAGGTAAGGTCTTAATTTCTTTTACTCCCTCAGTGCTTACTAGTGGTGCAACTTTATCCAAGTAATCACTGGCACCAGGGTCAACTACCTCACTGGAAGGAAATTCCTTTCCTGGACTGCCTTCTAAAGAGTCTGGTGATTTGCTAGGGGATATCTCCATTTCCTCAACAGAAGGACTTAGACCTATCGAGCTCTGCTGCTTGGTAACTTTTCTGATTTCTGAATGCTTTATTTTTTCATCTTCCACATAATCAATCTGCCTCTCAACTTTCTCCTTAATCACAGCTGACTGGGAGATTTTAGCTGAAAGTTCATAGACACCATCAAGCGTGGTTCTCTTCTCAAAAATTCTGACTGGAATATGTGACACAGCAATTTCTTCTTTTCTTTTGGATATTTTATCAGCCACTTCACCATTATGTTCTCCCTCCCTTACAACAAATTCTCTGTATAAAACTCTTTTTGAGGGAGATTTTACAGTCATTTCCTTCACTTCTTCTGAATGAATTCCATTTGCTGCCAATTTGTGCTCTGTCACAGTGATAAATTCACTTTTTTTGTCAGTTTTAGCTTCAGCATGATCAACATGGTTTTCTTTTACTGTATCTGGAACCAGCACATGTGAAAGTTTTTCTTTTTGTGTTTTATGATTAGAAGTTCCAGGACTTTCCCACGTCCTATAGATTTTTTTGTCCCAGTGTCCCTTTGATGTTGAGTCAGAGCCATACACCAGGTCTTTTGCCTGCAGTTCTGAAAAGTGTTCTGGCATGCCTTTACTCATATCAGTTCTTTGTTTTTGTGTGTCTGAAGCACGTAAGTCTTCGACAGCTTTCCCTTTACCTGGAACAAAATCTTCCTGTATTTTCACCTCTTTCTGTAAAGCTGTGCTGCCATCAATGAGCTCTACTTGCTTTGCATGTTTCTCTCTGGAATAAAACTGATACACAGGTAACTTACTTTCTTGTAATTTCTTTACTGGAATTTTGGACTGACCATCCAGCTTTTTTTCTTCTTGAGTTACATCCTTACTCCTTGGACTTATACTTTGTTCAAATTTAAGCCTAATGGAACTCAGCTTTGATTGCTTCAGCTGGAATCCAGTCTGTGAAACCTCAGGTACTCCAGTCTGCTGAGCATTTCCTTTGTGTTCCATAGTTTGTTTAGAGTCCTCTGCAGGTTGTACAAATATCCTTTTTTCAGGACTGCTGGGCAAACTGGAAGTTTTTCTTTCATCCACCTTGGGAAAGCATTTCCCATCATGTGCATGCTGCTTCACCTTACTCCATTCATCACTGGACGACGGCAATTCAGAGAGCAGAACCTTCTCAGGACTGCTGCTGGCAGAGCTCTGGCTAAAATGTATTTCTTTGCCATTTTTTTTATGCTGCTTTTTCTCCGGAGACTGTAGCTCATCATTCAACTTCTCTGTTTTATCTCGAAAAAACTGTGATACTTCAGTCAGTTTTTCTTCTGCCTCCTTAACAGTCCTGTCCACCCTGTCTTCATATATCAACTTTTCTCTACCTCTGTCTAATCTGTCCTCAGTAAAGTGCATCCACATCGCTTGCTTTGGACTACTAACATCTCCACTGTAGTGTAACACTGTCACTTTATCATAATGATCATCTTTAGACATTTTACCTGCACCATTTTCAGACACATCTTTATAGATTTTGGAGAGAATCTCTTTTTTGGGGGCAGTAGCTACTTTTTCTCTGCATCGTTTATCAGACCCCTGTAACTCTGCGCTAAGGGGTAGAGCATGGTCAGTAACTGACTCCTCAGTATCAGAATGAGACACATCTAGCTTTTCTGAAAGAAGCATTTTCTCAGCAAACCTGTAAGACTCCCCTCTTAGTTCTGACAACTCATCATCATGGTATTCTATTGAGTGCTGACTCAAAAGCTTCAGTGTTTTGTAAGAGTCATCAGACATGAGTTGAGCAGAACTAGGGCGACTGTCTTCTTCCTGGGACACAGGAGTGTTAACTCTAGAGGATTCCAGATAAGAAGGAAGTGACTCTTCAGCCGTGAGCTCTTCTTCTTCTTGCTGACCTTGTTCGTCTGAACAAGGAAAAGCATCGTGTTTTTCCAACTCTTTTAAGTTAATATCTCCCCGAGGTAAGTCTTTCTGATATACATACATTTCTTTTTCTGGATGCTTTTTTGTTTCTCTAATAATGACTTCAGTAGGTTCAGCCTGATTACCTTTTTCAATATGGACCTCTATTATTCGCTCCAGTTTGGGTTTCATTTTGTTGTCCTTCTCTGCATGTTGTGGTGAAGTTTCAGCAGACTTGCTAACATCGGATGTTACTGATGATTTATGTTCAAACAGACCTGCCAGTTCTTTGGAAGGGTCACGTCCAGACTGAAAGGCTTTCATTATGTCATGAACAGACATTGTTTCCTCAATTCTTTCAGACGTGCTTTCAGTGCATGGAGGTTTATGATAAACCATCCTAGTTGTCGTAGTGATATGAGTTTCTTCTTTTACTCGGACACCTTTACTAAGGACACACTTGTGGTCATCTTCTTCACTGCTGCTGGCTTTCATTTGAAAAGCTTTAACCTTCTCTTTAATAGATCCAGCAGGTTTTTGCTCCAGCTCCATAAATGTAGGGGCAGGTTTTGAGGCTGGTAGCTCCTCTGCTTTCTGATCTGGAAGTTCTTCAGATGATGGTTCATAGCTGCGGATAACATGAACTACTTCAGTTCTTGTTTCTGTAATGACAGGAGGGATGGGTACATCATGGAAAAGTGGTTTTGGCCCTGTGCTTTCAGCACTTTGTGGGGCAGAAGGTGTCTTTTCACTCCTTGTTTCAAAACCACTGTCAGACAAGGGACTTTTATCTTGATCATGTTGAGAAAAGTCATCTGGAGACTCTAAAATAGTATCTGTTCCAAAAAAGGAATCAGCAATTTTACATAACTCTTTTTCTGATGTTGAAGGCCTCATGGAGGCTGGAGGCATTTTAAGTTTGTGTTCCTGCAAAGCAATAGCTGGTTTTAAAATGCGTTTTTGTCTCTCTTCACCTTCTTTTTTCCCCTCTTCAAACTTGTACTTTATATTCGTTAATGAACTGCTACCAATATCATTTGCTAAGTAATCAATAACTTTTGACAAGTTATAATCCTTTTCCGACACAGTTTTAGTTTTAATTTGGACCTTCTCTGGAACAGATATAGGAGGGCTTGTCAAAGCTTGCTGTCTCGCTTCATCAATCTCCTCTGTACTGAACTCTACCCAGTCATCCTCGGACAGGTGTCCTTGATCACTTTTGGATACTTTAGCCGACCCTTTACTTTCTAAACACACATCTTTTTTCAGAATCTCACTAACTTTTACTAAGTCCTCTTTTACTTTCTCAACAATTTTAAAGGGCTCTTCATCATCAATTCTACCCTCTTTCGGTATCTCAGGTTGGAACGGTTTGTCCTCTGTGACATCTGTCTGCAATATTGCAGTCATTCTTATTAGATCCTCTTTCATTTCAGCAACATCTTTCAGTATCTCCTGACTGGAGGACAAAGAAGATGGTGTTGACAGTTTGAGAGCAGAGGGTGCTAAAAACAAGGATGATTTTATTGGTGATGAAGTTCGATTAAAGGGAGGCTGTGTGCGTGCCTCTGTAGTCAATGTTTTAATAGGTGACAGTAACGCAGCAGCTGATTTTGTAAGTGAAGATGACTCTGGGAGCTTCTTTAATGCTGGTTCAGACAAAACATTGACTACAGAATATACCGGCACTGTTATTGTTGATGAAGTTACTGATGAGGTAGTTGCAGATATTGACCCAAGGGCTGTGTACAAAGCACCTGCAGGAGTTCTTATTGACTGGAAAGCTGATGGTGCTGAAGACACAAATGACCTGAGTGGAGAAAATGGCATTGTTGCAGCTGTTGAAAACACTCTCTCAGTCGTGTCAGCAACTGCGTTAGCAGCACAAGTTGCAGAGTGGGCAGCTGCAGCAATCTTGTCTTGAAAAACAGCTGCAGCTTTAGATCCATTTATTAAGTTGGCAGAAGATGGGTATTTCAGAGGTGACACAGATCCATTAAGCAATGGTACCTCTGTGTGCCCAGCTACATGTTTTGCTGGTGATGAGAGAGACGAGGCCATCATGACTTTAGAGGATGAAACAGCATCAACTGCTGATTTAGCAGGTGACACCACTGACTTTAGAGGGGACGATAAAAGTGAAGATGCTGATGTGATGACTGACTTAAGTGGCAAACTTGAAGAGTACATGTTAATGTTGGATTTGGGGGATGCTGGAGGCGTCATGGTTATGGACGATCTCTCCAAGAGAGACCCTGCTGTAGTCACTGGAGATGTCCGAGAGGGAAATGCGGCAGTGGATGCCAGCCCTTTCAGACTAGCAGCTTCTGTGACCGTGGGAGCTCTGACGAAAGAGCCTGACGTAACCTGCATATTGTATGGAGGCTGTGATACCACAGTTTTTATTGGTGAAGAGATTGTCCGAAATGATCTAATCGGAGATGCTACATCACTAACAGATTTAACTGAAGATGTGGTAGAAGCTCCTAAAGTGGATTTGATTGGAGAAGCAGAAGAAACAGACCATATTGATTTTAATGGGGAAGCTGTAGGAGTGTTAGAGGAAGAGCTTGATAAGGAAGTGAAGCCTGATTTGGTTTGCCCAGGCACTGTAATTGGAGTTGTTGTCCACGACTGATATGGCCGTGTTGAAAAGAACGGCTTGTATGAGTAAGTAGCAGGCAGGGATCTTGTTGCTCCTGCACTCCGTTCAACTGTTTCTTAAATTGTTAAATTAAAATCAAACACAAAATCAACAAAAATGATTGAAAAACAGAGAGACCAGAGAAGAAAATTGGTCAGTAAACGTTGTAATATTACAAAAAGCAAGTACAATTGTTTGCATGGGTTAGGATGAAAGAGGCAAAAGAAGATTTAAAAAGCAAAGAAAAAAATAGGAATGAGCCATAACACTGATGATCGGTTCAACCCAAAACCAACATGAAATGAGAGACAGAAAGCACATTGCAATCAAATCTGCAAACAATGAAGAACAGAAAACACAAAGAAGGAATCCATAAGGTAAAAATAAAACCACATTAAAATTTCTTCTCTTACTTCCTATTGACTTTCTGATGTGTTACTTCTGAAATATTCAAATCAGTTCTATTTTGCCTGTTTAGGTATGTCTCTGCTTTGCACAACTATTAGAATTATCCTTTTAAAAATTTCCTGATGTTGGTGTTCTATTCAGATATTGAACCTATGCAAAATATAAACTTGTGTAAAATGACATTATCTAGCTAAAGTATTTTTTTAAACCACTTAAAACTATTTCATGCAGAACCCAAAATTCCTTTAAGTGACAGGCAATTGATGTGCAAACTGTGAAGCAACTGGAATAAATTCAAATCTGTATCTCCCATGCACAATTCGGATATGCTTCACACTCACAAAGCCAATAAGAGCAAGAGCTTTTCTGAGTCAATATTTAAAAAAAAATAATAAAAATAAAGAAATAAAAGGAACTTTTGCATTTGTTTCTCATGCAATATTCCTTTTGTTTGGTAAAAGCTAAAGTAAAACTTTACATGAAATGATTTTAAGAAGCATATGTCATACATGAAATATGGAAAGTATGATATATGATAAACGTGAGCAAGCAAAGCAACTGAATCAGTTTTTATTCATGCACAATATATCATGTCAAAACGAGCACACAGATTAATACATTTGTATGCTGTATTAAGCACAAATATATAAACCTTACAAAATCATGTCACAAGAGGCCATTAAAAGAAGAGTACACTTTTTCTACAAGATGTAGTGTCTTGGTACCTTTTGAGGAGATTTCTTGTATCAGCTCAAAGACAGACCTGTTCAACTTTACATTTCTCAAAAGGTAATATTAGAAAAACAGTCAAAGAACAATTATTATGCAAAAACTTCCTGGCAAGGACAACACCTGTTAACTGTTATCATCCCCCAAAACACACAGCTTATTTATAGGCATTTCAAACAAAATCATCACCAATCCCATTTTGCATCAGAGGAGGTACTCATGCCAGAAGATAGCATTTCTGGGAATCCCATTACAGCATACATATCCTCTGATACAGCAATCACATTCAGAGAGTTGACATTTAAAGTAACTTAGAGGGCTTTTCTTTCTTGAAGTTGGAGTTAGAAATCGAGCTAAAATATCTAAACAACCTATTTCAACACACCTTCCTCTGAAGTTACACTAATAATTTGTCAAACCTGCTTGATCTGTCTTACAGACAGACAGTAACTTACAGTGAAAAAAAGCTTAACAAGGCTAATACTAAACTCTTAAAATTACAGCACACGTGCTCTTATAAAATACTGAATATTCAGTATACCACAGGTCCATATCCTGCAAGGAGAAATGTGCTGGTCCCATAGAAGCCAATTGAAGCCCAGAAGGCTATGTGGATGGCTGGTGATATTGTGGTATGAGAACATTTAGGTTGAAGAGAGCTTGAATACTAGACCTGACAGGCACAGCTTATGTCAAGAAACATCCACTTTTCCTTGCAATGTTATTTTTAAGTGAAAACATAGTTCTTTTTTTCCCCCAAAGAATAAAACATAGTGTACTTCATTAAATAAGCTAGACTTTATTATGAAGATTAATTATCAGCAGCTGCTAACATTCAACAAAATTTCATACAGTCCCAAGTCCAAGAAGCAAACCCCAAAATTATTCTGAAAAGAACAAACAGCAAAACAACTTGTTCAGCAGTTTGTGTTTGGAAATGTCTTTCAAGGAGCCCCACTGTGCCATGATGAGCCAGTCTATCACAACTGGCTAGTGAGGCAATCAAACCAACAGGCTTCCCTCTCAACTGCTCTTTTTCCTGATAAATCATGGTTTCAGACATGTTTAAGATGCTTTTACTGTTCTCCTTATTGCAGCTGAGAATAAGCAGTACAAAGAAAATTGCGTAATTTACCAGTGTGTGCAGCTATGACATAACTCAAACAGCAGGAAACTGGGCAATTTTAGTACTTTGAAATAGCAAAGAAATCCCCACAACCATGCAAGACTGTAGAATGGGATAATATTCTAAAGGTGGTTTTATATAACAGCCCTTTTTGTCTACTGGACACTCTTGGCCTTAACAGTTTCCATTACTCTGCATCCAAGATTTTATCAGAAAACATATGTTGGTTACTACCTTCTGTGCACCAATCGACACTTCCTTGCTTGCAGCTGGTAATTGAAAGCACTGAGTGAACACATACAAGTGCTTAGGCTTCTATCTACAATCTTTCCTGTCAAACACAATAATTTTTGCATACCCCTTCTGGATAACTCACAGCTGTAAGCAGTAACCATTGACAAAAGGGATAGAATAGTTAAAGAATGGTCAGGGACTTCTACTTTGGTTACTTTTTTTTACTTGGGTTTTTTTTTGTTTGTTTGTTTTTGTTTTTGTTTTTTTTGCGAGTACAACTCAAGCGGGTCTGGGTTTTCTCCCTCCAACTTTTTGCAAATTAGACTTAATGGACCTTTGGTGAATAAATAAGGCTACTTTATATATTTTCCTAGTAAGGCCTGAAAAACTAATTGTAAGGAACATACACAGTCATAAATCTCCTTTCAAGCAACTTCCTTTTCCCTCTCTCTCAGTTCCCATCAAGCCTTTCACAATACCTTAACAGTCCATCAAGATGTCTCAGAAGATCTGATAGCTTCTTCAGATGTTATATGCTTGAAGTCTTCTTCCAGGCCTGAGAAGTGTAATATATTCTGGAACACATCTGATCCAAAGAAGCCACAGATCTTATAGGATAATTAAGCAGCAGCCATCCAGTGGGAACTCCCAAGACCCGATGAAGTTTGTCTATGGATTTTATGGAATTATATCAAAGGGTCTGTTGCAGGGTAGCAACTGAGAAGTCACGGGGGGAAAAAAAGGCAAGAAAAAGCCTGGGAATGGGGAACAAAAGCAGTCAACCTCAGACAGGAGAGGTGAGGGAAGAAAAGCTAAGCCAAATACAGTAGAGTATTTAATGGGGAAGGAAAGGAATGCCACAGGTCTCGTCAAGGGGAACACAAGTTTTAGAGGAAGCAATGTGCGGTGCCAGGGAATAAAAAGCATCTGCAGGGAACAGAGGAAAAAGGGAAGGGGGGAGGAAAGAAAAGGGAAAATATAAAATATGAGAGAGTCTATTTTAGCTAAGCATCTAAACATTTAAGCACTTGTATGAATGTTATTCTCCAGCCTTGCTGAACTTTTGCATATCACTTTCTTCTACTGCAGCTCTGTAATCTTCCAAAGGGAAGAGGAACAGACTCTTTCTGAAGGCAATTTGCAATCCTACTCTTCTGGAGCTATAGGGCATTTAAAAAAAAATATATTTTTACTTAACTAACATATGTTATTTGCCAGTCAGGATTCTTCAAGCTCTCACAACACAAGAGTTCACAGACCATCCAATAATTTTGTTTCAGAAAGGTGTTTGTTTTCTTTTTTTCTTTTTTTCCAAAGTGACACCAAATACAACGTTTATAGAAAAAATGTCTCTTCTTATGAAAAATCATGTATGTATGGTTTAGTATTTTGGTAAGAGCAACTCACTCATTCCAGGCTCAGTCAGATAGCTGTAGCGCTTACGTAAAGCAAGGGAAACAAAGTTCTGGCGCCGGTCTGCCTTCTCCGTCTGCAACAAAACATAATTCTGTTTAGTGCCTTTAGTATTGCCATCCACCCTTTGAACAGAACAATCACCAAACCTCAGCTTGATGGGCCGCATTTTGCGGTACACAAACCCCACAAGGAAGAACGGATGTTTCCATTCAGCTTCAGGAAGGCATGCTGAAGCCAAATTTAGGCAAGCAGGCAGGGAATGGACAGAGCCGGTCCCCATTCCTGTCTGCCACATAATGAGTGTCAAGCACTGTGGAGCAGGGAGTGTGGCTATCAGAGGCAGCAGAGACCTGCTGTGAACGACTGCCCTTCTGAAGCAAGCAGGAAAAGGACCGCAGCCCTCAGAAGTGACCCCAGAAATTCATTCCTGCCCACAATGTCTCCGCTTATGAGGTGGAAGAGCTTAGACAGCAGATGTAGCTCATGATTCTGGCTTCATGTAGCTCAATACTGTATTATCCCATTATCACTTAATAAACAGCTTCACACTACTAGAATGGCATGATATTATTCATTCTCTGTAAAATAAACCACCTTCAGCTAGGAACAGGAGATCAACATGAAAGACTAAAGATACAGACATAAAACATCCATAAGAGTACGACTTAGACCAACCTAATATTCATCCCAAAATTAATTTGTCCTGAAAGCACATACACCACAATGTACACTGGCTTTTAAGTGAATACATTAAGGACAAAAAAGGCATGTGAGGGGATTTTTTAATAGGCACAAAATGCAAAGATGCAGATTAGAAAGCAGACTACTATAGTTAACTAAAATTGCATGATAAGTCACTGAGTTCGGTGGCACAGCTGCTAGTGTGATGTCTTAAATATTAAAAGTCCTTCAGAGATAACTCACTTGATTATGTGACTAAAAATATCGTCTGTTTAGAAAGAAAACTATTGTTATAGCTATATAATAGCTCACCCGGAACAAATCCTGTGGAGACAAAGTGATGAGGTTGCTATTATTATTTTTTAACATGTAAGGAGTGTTTCAGGGGTTTTTTTAAATTATTTTAATCAGCAGGTGGCTAGTGCTATTTATTTGCCACCAGGAAGAGAAGAAAACTTTGCTACTGTGTAAAAGGGATATATCTATGCAGTTTCTTTTACGAGGTGATTGCATTTAATACTACCTCTAATACATAAAACTCAATCAATTTTCTGACAATCCAGTGTTGAATATTCCAGCAAATGGTAGATTTCTAAGCTGCAAATATCTGAGGTTTAGCTGAAAACAGATTTGAACACAACATCTAGAAATTGCTTTTGGCTATTTTGCTTTTCAGAAGAATTTTGTCTATTTTCAGGAGTAAAATATTATAGGCCACTATTGTAATACTTTCTTTCTCAGAAGTAGAAGTTACCAAGGCACTGGCAATATTACTCTAAGAGGTAAAATCATATCCACTAAATTCTTCTTGATTTTGACAAAAATGGACTTGGTCTGAATTTTATAATTACATCTGTTTTCAGAAGAAGATGAGTTAAATTTTAGACTTCTATTATTCCATGCTTGGTTTAATTTCATAATACGTAATCATGTTTTTTACACATTTGTGCACTTCTGCTGTTGTGCAACAGACTATCAGATGTTGAGGATATGGTTACTCTGTACGTATTATTTCAATGCCCCAGTTAAAAAATAGTTGTTTTTCTTTTTCCCTAGAACATATTATTTTTCTTCACTATATCTGAAGGAAATAAAAACAGAAGACAGTGTTTGTATTACCTCATCATCTTGATCTGACTCTGTTTCCTTTTGGTCCCAAGATGCATTGCAGAGACAAGGAATATTATAATGGACAGCAGGGAAAAGAATATCAGGATATGAAAAGGACCAAATTGGGAGCACAAAATGCAAACTGATTTATAAGGCAAAGCAAATCCAAGATGTCAACACAAAAGAAAAAAAAATCTTACATCTAATGCAAATCAACACGTGACATTACTGAAAGCATAAACCTATGACTTGCAGGCTGAAGCATGAGCTGCAAACAGAATCACAAAAATTACAAGAACTTGACACCACAGTAACAAGAGACTTTAAAAGCGTTCTAGATACAGGAAACCAATAAAACAAATTTTAAAAGCCTTTATCATATTCCAAAGCATTCCCATTACCGGCATTTCACAGGGTTTCTTTATCACTAGCGGGGGAAAAAACAAACAAACAAACAAAAAAACTAAAGGAGCAAAAATAAAAACAAACCAACCCCAAGGAAAATTTTACTTTTCCTAACAAATACCTTTTTGTGTGCTGGCAGAGTGATATTCAAGTTGCAAACAGCTGTTTGTGGCAGTCCTTTTGTAGTCTTTGGTTCTTTCAGAAATGATAATCGACCACAAGGTTCTTGGCTGGTATCTCTTACCTAGAAAATAAATTTTAGTACAATGTAGTAGTATGTAGTAATTCAGGTACCTAGAGCAGGTTTCTGGAGAGTTTCTCAGAGATTCTTTCTACAAGAAGCTATCTAAAATGGGTAAAGACCAATGTTACTGAGTTGGAGCTCAGTCTGAGGTGCTGAAGAAGAAAAAGTGTTACCATGAGTTGAATCAGCTAGAAGTTCTCTGATAGTAAGTCTACGCAAGACACGAGGTGGAGTGAGTCCAACCAGACAGTTTTGTACTGGGATATTACTTGAGAGACATTCCCTGCTCACCTTCGTTTTTTTCTGCAGCGTTTTGCACTTGTGCTTACCAAAATGCTTAACAACTTCTTTTGAATGGCAGCTCTGATAAGGCTAAGGGAAGTGAGCATCCATTCATGGTAATTTAGAGATAAAGAGTCTGTGCGTACTTTTTTGGAGGCTGTTGCACTGTGCAGTATGTTTTTCAATGTATCTCCTTTGCTTAGTCTCTGGGAAATAGTGATCTCCTGGTAGTATTCTGGAGGTCTAACTTGAGATATGGTTTTAATAAAAGGCTGTGAATCCATATTACAGGCATTCTGGTCTCAGCTCTGCCAGCAGCTCTTTTGTGTCTTCACGTAAAGCACCCTCTCCATGTTATTCACATATTAAACAATTACATCCTCACAGTGAGTTAGTCCTATTGGGTTGAAAAAGCGTTATCATTGGGGAAAAAAATACAGCAGCAGAATGATTTGGGTTGTTTTGCTTTTACCTTGATAGAGAATGGCAGTCTATTTTCTTTGAAAGCATAAAAATTAAAAACAAGCTGCTGTCCTCCTTTAGTCAAAGGGGCTAGATTTCCATAGCAATCAACGTATATAGGTTTTCCTTCCAGAACCTATCAAAGCAATAAATAAAAGTCAATAAAACCTCCTTTTTATAGTAGATCCATGCATGTAAGTATACCACGATTTCCCCCATCGTAGTTCCGGAGTTTAGCAGAATTCCCCACTCAGATTAAATTCAACAACAAATTAGAAAATAACTGTGCATTATGGTAAGGTGTTACAACTGCAGGCAGTTTGGGAAGCTGTGAGCTACCTGAGTAAGAATGTGTAGATTTTCTTCAGGAAACAGTGTATTGGTGACTATGTATTGACCACATACCAGCCCTACTCATGACTGTGTGTCTGCAGGGCCAATGAGAAGGAAATTCATGTCAGCCGTCTGCAAAGCCCAACCAGGGCTACTCGACAGCAGTGAGTGCAAAGCCCACAGCAGACCTGCCTGAGGCATCCATTTGGAGACAGGTCCTCATGATCTCCCCCCACCTTGAACCTTTTTTGGTCTCTTTCAAGAAAAATTTTGACACAGCCTTGCTGTGAACCTTTATTTAACCGGGCTTAAAGTGGCTTTTGCAGGACCTATTGACACTTGGAAAACACACCGTACATTTACAAGGAGAAAGCCAGATGTAAGAAATATACCTCAATGTCTTTGCTTCTTGCAACTTCTTCAAAGTTCTCTTGTTGCTCCAAAGTTTTGTCTACTTTATCATCAGTCATGCAGAAGCAACGCAAATTGGATTCCACAGGGTCATTCATTTTGGCAAATATCACAAACTTTGCCATATAAGGAACGCATATTAATTCTCTATAAAGCTGTGTTGCCAGACCCACGGTCTCTAGTACTTGATGGCAGTCTGCAAGCCAAAATCTGTGTGGGAAAAAGCAAACCGTTAAATCAACTTTTCATTGTGCTCAAACATTGATTAAGCCTTTAAAGAGAAAACCATGGCCTATGATCCTTTGCCATTTTGCATGTGTACTGTCCTTGCAGACTTCCCAAAGCCGTAATTTTCCTCCTGCTTTTCGTGGAGCTTTAACCCATCCGAAAAAGATAATATCTAGCAGTGAAATGTTTATATCCTTATTTGACCCTTCTCACACTGGTATCTCAAAAAACTGCCTGTTTTATGCCTCATTTGAAGCCAAAGTGGGGAAACTGTATTTCTTGTGACCACATACCATGTATGTTGTAATGTGCTGATGCTTCCCTGTGCATTTGATTTGCTAGAACACCCTCCTTGATAACACATACATACAGCAAAATCACATCTGCCATATAGGTTGAAACCGAATATGCCCACAGTGAGGTTTCCCAAAGAGACATATGTTATACACTGTTATTATCTCATCTTATGACTAAAAGTTTGATAAGAATTTTTATACAAGTTATAAATATTTTAATTTGTAGTTTGTGTGAGTCTTTTCCATGATATTTCAGCCCTGATCTATTTGGTTCTTTCAGCAACTCCCTCTCTCTATAAAGCTTTTTATAGGTGCAAATGATATGTGCTGAATGATAAACTCTTTACCTGGTATACCATGAATTTTTTCCACTACGATGCATGACTTGTACAGATCCTGTTGAATATCTCCAATCAGCATTTCCGTCCACTAAGTCCATCCAAATTAATTTCAAACCATGATTTTTCTTTTTTTGCCAATATTTTTGTGAAAGCAGCTTTAAGTAATTTCCAATAAAAAGCTCACAGTCAGAAACTGAATGTCTTTAACTTTTTAAACAAATCAGTTTCTATGAATTCCCCTTTTTTTTTTAATTGAATGAGCTTCTTCCACTTTCCCTTTCTGTTGCTGCTTGCAGAAAAACAAACCCCCATGTGGCACTGCAGCCTTTAGAGAAACAGCACGTGTGATTGCCAGGAGATATCACCACAGCAGAAAAGGCCAGGACAAAGCTTCATGTGTGACTCTGGATGTGTGGCATGCTGATACAGAGAGACAAAGAAGCATCTGGTCCACTACTGCTTCATCAATCTTGCAAAAGACTCACAGAAAGCCAAAAAGCAACCCCACAACTATGCAATTTGTTAGTCGAGGGAAATCACTCCCTAGGTGCATTTGGCAAGCTCTGTAACCATACCTGGCTGAAACGTTGGTTGTGAATGAGACACAGTCATTTGCGAATGTCAGCGGAGTGGTGCCTGTGATATCCTCCCACTGCGCAGGTGAAGTACCTCCTATGTAAATATAAACCACCCAGATTTTCTTTCAAACACCAAGCACACACAGACTACATAAGTATATCTCTTTCTGAAGTTATTTTGCTTCACATATAGAAAGAGAACCTAGACAATAGTGTTCTCCAACAGGTGAGCTACATGCTATATATCACATCACATTTTATACACCAGAAAATGATGCTGATGTAAGCAAAGTACATACCTACAAGTCAGTAGTAAACCCCTCCTTGATATCAGCTAGGACAGAATTATTCCAGCAAACTACTTTCACTGACAACCATGTTTAATAGTCAAGGCTGAAATTCTTCATATTGGCTAAATATAAAATAGCATTTAATATCTCCTAGCACAGTTCTTTTACAATGTCATGAGACCAAATTCAAAGCCCAGGGAATCAGTGGGAGCCTTTCAAATTACCTCAGCTGGCTTTACTCAGGAGAACTGATCCGAACTCTACTGGATCAAGCACACCCTTGTTTGCTTTCTGGAAAGCACGAGCTTTACAGTTATGAAAGTGAGTGTCATAGGTTTCTTGCTGTCACACAAACCTCTGCAGAGAGCATGATTTTCTCTAACCTGTAATGCTACATAGAAGTCGAAGGCTGGGCGTTGTGTCTCCTTTGTACCCATTGGTTACACCTTCTCCTGATGGAGGTGGCACAGGAATTGTCATGGTTATTGGCTTATGAAATTTTCTTCTTCTTGGCTCCACAGTGACAATGGGACTAAAAGTTGCTTTGTTTCCAAGGATTTTTTTGACAATCTCCTCTGGAACTGGTTGAGCCTGTCAACACAGGGAAAGTATTTAAACTAGAGCTACAAATTGGTTAGAGACATGCAGAACTGTTTTCCAAAAGATAATTCAATTTTCCTTTTCGTTTCTCTAGAACTTTATTTCTCTTTTTTCCATGGCAGCCTTCTCCTACAGCTCTCAAGGGTGATTATTAGTACAATTTATGCTTAATATTTTTCACAACAATCCACTTATGATTTCCTAATAGCTAACTTGTAGAGCAAAACTATAAATCTCAGAAGGTTGCCTGCAGTATTTGCTGAGAATTTTTCAGGGCATGTTTGGCATTGTTTTTAATTTACAGTGATGGGTGACATTAAATACATTTTCAAAATGCAGAGAGGCCTATTTTGCTAGTAAAGTCTTGAGAAGTGAGGACTACACACTGTCTTGGAGATGCTGAACAATTCTCACATCTCTGCCAAACACAAATCCATGCTCCTGAGGAACACTGTGTACTCCTACATACCTCTGTATTTGGGGTCGCTTCCTATGCCATTCCACTATTGATTATTAGGAAATAAATACTTGAGTCAAATTCATTTAGAATATATTAAGCTAAAGAAGACCTATAAGCAAATTTCAGACTTTCTACCTCCTTTTTGTGGCTTAAAAGGTTTCCTAACGTTATATGGCAAGAAAAGAAAAATAGCCAACATGGGAAGAAATGCTAAAGAATTTCAGTAGTTTTTGTCATGTAAGACCTGAACTCAAAAGTGACAGGCATCTTATGGGAATTATGGTTTTGCATCCATTTGCCCTTTTTCTAAAAACAAACCAAAAAACAACTGTTGTCTGACCTGTGACTGACTGCTTTATTTGAACTGCACAATGCATTGATATGCATAGAATATGTAGCTACATTGCAATCTCAGCAGTCACAGCACTGCGCATCAAGATGTCATGCTTCCTTCACACTAGAGAGCTTTGGAAAGGCAGCCGTATAACCATAATAGCAGAGCTTCCATTTTCTCAAGATTTGTCATCTTTAGATGTGAAATATCATTAACAGAAATGTTCCAGTGTGAATTCCAAGCACTGGAATCCAAACTAGCACCCCTGTTTCATGAACCCATCAGATTTGTCAGCTTGTTAAATAATTTTAAGTTATAATTAACAGAACTCAAAGAAAAAGATACCCCCTACTGAATATTTCTCTACTTTCTGTGCAGTTTGTTTAAGGAGAGTTTAAGCTACTTGCTCTTCCCAGATTTCACCCATCACTGGGATCACCAATGGTGAATGTCCTAAGCTACAACAGATGTATATGGAAGGCCTTGGAGCAAGTAACAGCTGGCAAACAGCTGCATGAAATCCTTACCAAACACATTCCTACGGCAAAGGGCAGATGACACAATCCCAAACTTCTTCTTCACCATAGGAGACTGGGACTGCACAGTGGCTGTGCAGCTCATAGCTGCTGGCAGCCATGGTCAACAGGAAGATGGCAGGAAACACCACTGAGGCTGTGGTGGCTCCAGGCTTTTACTTTTCTCTCCATTCTTCAGATGCTAAGCAATACTCAAGGTGATGATAAAAGGGGAGCTGGGCTTTTGCCACAGGTACAAGGACTGTGCATCACCTGCGCTGGGGGGCACTGAGAGGCAGAGAGTGTGCCTGGGCAGGCACACATCTGGGTCTCAGGTGTGAATACTACCCACCTTGCAACCCCCTGCCAAGGAGCAGCAGGCTCCTTAGCTGCAAGCCGCAAGCATTAAGAACAATGATGAACTTCTAGACGCTGCGCATATGAACACGAGGGTACCTTTACCTGGAGGCCCACACGGATCCTTTTGGTTAGAGCACCCTCGGGGAAGGACGCCTGGACGCGCGGCACTGTCGTGCTGCTCAGAACCCCGCCCTCCGGGCCAATTTGGTTACTCTCCTGCTTGATTCGTGAAACCACTGCAAAGTACTGAGGGAAATCCTTTGTGACGATCCTGCAGATGCGCTTCTTCTCTAGCTCCTCAACGCTGTCCAGCTCTGGTGGGAGAAGACAGTTAAAACATTCAGGCATTACCTGCCCAGGTTCATACCAGACACATCTGGGACTGTGAGGTTTTGAACATGCCTGAAACTGCTTGAGAAGTTTTTTGTACTTATTACAGGAGAAAAAAAAATATTCAGTGCTATTAATTACCAAGCTTTGGTTTGCTCTGTAAACTTTTGCATAAGTCTTGACAATGAGGGCCGACAGCACCAAGCACAAAGCTCTGCCAGGACACCTAAGCACTAGGGTGTGACAGTCTCTGCAGAAGCAGCTGCTGTAGGATGGCAGGTCTGTCACACAGCGTGGGAGTCCAAGGAGGTCTGAAGGAGATGTTCAAGTTTCTTTCTCATCTATATCTGGAAGCACAGAATTGCACTGATCTTTCTGTGCCCACCTTCAAATTACATTTTTTTTACAGCCTCTTACCTCACATAGCTCCAACATGCAGAAAACCATAGGAAACCACAGTCAGTTCATGAACTACCTAACTTCACACAAAGCGTGCAATTCAGAGCTTGCCCAGCTAAGGCACTTCAGAAAGTTATCTCAGACTGTCATCCATATAATCCTGACCAGACTCTGAGCTCTCTGGTAAACCATGGATGTGACAGAGCTTTGTCTACCAGTGAAACCATTGGAAGGATCCCTTCCCACATCAGGCTTTCGACCATCCAGTCATTTGCCCCAAAATAACTGCATTGTGCTCCTCAATTCCTAGAGAAACTTAGTGCATTCTCAGAGACAACTGGAACAGAAACAGGTCATCAACTAGTGCTCTTGGCCATGTTCCCAGCTCATAGGGTCACCAGGGCTCAGAAAGGTGCACGGAGTATCTACCTTTATTAACTAACTAATTATGTAGATGACATAGACATATATGCACTGAAGAAAACTGGTATGTCACAAATATAACGAATTATGCAACTGTATGTGTGTGTATATATATGCACTAGTGAAATCCCTGTGATATAAACACTCTTCACAAATGGAGATAATTACACAACTGTCATGCATTTCTCCTGTGATTTCTTGCACTCATCCATTTTAGCTGTTGTAACTGGGTTTCATTCCAGCACTCCACAAGTTTCCATTCTCATTTTCCCCCTTAAACAAGGCACCACATTCCTAAAGAAGGAAGTTTGTTCCTAGAAAGATGACGTTTCTATCAGACGCAGCAAGAGAAAGCAGGGGGACCAGAGATGGTACCAAGACAAAAGACGTTGTAAAATTCTTTACTTTACATGTCTGAGGCATGTTCCTCCTCTGAACACGCAAGGTCAATTACAGTTGCAAAAGAATTAGAATACAAATTAGGTAAAATGTCAAGTTTTCCATTTTAAAACTCTCAGCAGGTAATTTGGATTAATTGCACGGTGTTGCTGTGGATCATACGTAGCAACCAGGAGAGGATAATTTCTTATCATAATGTCAGCTTCCATTTACTTTGACTCAGAGATTGGTATCTGAAGACCTCTAATGAATTAAGTATCCTGCCTGCAGCCTCTGGAAGCAATGGCTTGTGCAGGAGACAAACTGGATTTTTAAACTGCCAGGTAGGTATGATCTTGACCGGTAAATCCTACTCATTCTCCTGTTTGTTGCTAGGGACAAAACCCACTGTAAAATGCTCACAGAGATGAAGGACAAATAAAATTCTCCTGAAGCAGAAAATTAGTGTTTTGTATAAGAACATTTCAAAATCCTTTGAGCCTGGCAGGTGCTCTGCTTTACAGGAAGAAGATGGTGTGGAGATTACAATGGTAGAGCAACAGTCAGGCACGGAGAGGAGTTGGACTATATATATAGGAGATTATGTTTGGATAATACGTATGTAAGCTGCTACAGGAAGTTGCCCTCTAACAGAAAGAAAAGATGATGAGCAATCAAACCACCTCTCTGGCTGCCATGAGAAATGCAGCGTTAGCATGACAGAATTAATGAAACAGGGAAAAGTCACCCTGGGAGAGGAGAGGTCACGTTTCCTGAACTCATGCATTTTACAGAAAGAGTGATCATCACTACTATTTTCCTTGATTGCTGACACTTCCTATGTAATGTGTTCCAAATAAAAACCTCAAAGGACTTTTTGTTTGGTTGGTTGGGTTCTGTGGTTTGTTTTTTTAACCACAGAGAAGTATGCTATACATCTCATCTTACAGATAGGGATGCAAAGCAGAGAAAGGTAAGGCAGAAAGGTTAGTGGCAGAACTGGGAAGTGTCTCTCGATGTCACTGTCTCCCAGATTTGTGCTAATAGCCCAAAGAACACCTATGGCCATTAAGTTTTAGCAAGTCAAGAGAAAGGTATCACAAAAACTCTGTGGATAAATGTCTTCCCCTGCCGCTCAAGTGTATGGCATGGTTATCCTCAAGTGTCTGGTGGAGAGAAAATGGAGAGAAAGAAAGGAGGGAGGAAAGAAAAATCACTCTTCCTCACCTTCTAGTTCATGATGCCACATAAGCATTGCATTAAGGTTCTTGGACAGGAGATGAGAAACCCAGTCACATCCTCCAAGGTCAGAGAGGGACCTCACAAAGGGTGGCTCACATCAAAGAAAGCAATCACATCTGTGTTGTCAGGTGAGAGCCAGTTGTGGATCAAATTCATCCCATGTCTAATACCTTTCTTTCTTACTTTCAGATAAAGTACCACAGAGCAAGTGTCTTCTGACTGGAAATGCAATAAGAGAAGTCACAGAACACCTGCTGGTTTCATGAGCTTCAAGGTGTTTTTGTGTGATCTCATATCTGATTTCCCTTACCAGGGCCTTGAAAGGAATTCTGCTAGCACTGAAAAAGCAAATCTCAGCTGTATTTAAGCAGACTTAGCAGCTCTCTGACTTTTGCAAGCCTCTTGCAGTACTGGCTAGAGCAAAGCTGGCCTAGGAACTGTGCAGAGACTGAAAGGTGGGACAAGCACAGGATACCAACTCCCCCCATACAGAAATGTGCCCATGAAGAAATTGTTGCACTAAAAGCAGGCACACAGGAGGCAGCGCTTACATGGAGAAACGTCCAGGAGATGGATGGAGACAGAAAGAACACATGGGAAGGGGCAAGGAGAAGCTGAGGGCACTGAGACTTGTCTTAAAAATGCTGGTAACTAGACCCACCCTCCCAGCTTCAGTATTTCACACATGTAACTAGATGCTCCCAGTGACACAAGGAGGTCTCATCCTCAAACAAGGCAATGTCCTTCATGTGCCATTTTGTCTATTTTTGCGCAGTCTCTTATCTTGCCATTCACAACATGAAGTTTAGCAGCAATAGGTTTAAAAACTTTTTTTGGAAATGTGGTAAAATCACTGCAGAGTGGTTTATGGTGGCATTTTAAACTTCAGGCATAAACAAAGTCACACTCTGGTTTGATCTACAGATTCAAAGAAGGAGTCATACAAAAACTCCTGCTTCCCATCTGAAACCACACTGTGCAACTGGAAGCATATTGTAGTCACAAATATTTCAATTTCTTGGCTCACACACTAGTTTGAAAATGCCTATCAAAAGATTAGCTACCCCTGTGTGTGCATTTATGCCTACAATTTGTCTATAGGCACTTGTAAAGTGTGTAGGAGTGTAAAAAGCAAACACAAGTTATACCTAAAAGAAGCCTAGCTGAAAATGGAACCTATTTACTAAATACAAGACAGAGAGCTTCTTCCTAAACAACAACAATATATATGTATTTCAATTGATTTAAGTTTTTTTAAAAAATGTAATATGGCTGAGAGCTGTGAATTGCTACTCTTGTGTTTGGAACCAAACTCCTACTCTTCCTACAAATTCCAAGTTCCTTGTATTCCCTCAGCCCTGTATTTGCCCAAGTACAGCACCACCTTTAGAATAAAAACTATTTAAGCAGAAACCTGACAGCACCAGAGTAAACCAAACTCTTTACATCATGGTTCATTGTTCTTTCATTACAATAAAAGCAAAGTTCTGCTATTATTCAATCCTGCATTTAGTGCCCTGAAGAGCTGCCTCCTGCTCTAGATTACTGTGAGCCTGAGCTGAGGTTGCCCAGTAGATGGTGCTGGTTCCAGCACAGAACAGGCAGGGTGGCAGCAAAGATGTCCTCGTTCATTCTCATCCCTGCTGGCTAAGCGGGAGAGCAAAACAGGAAAAACAATACAGAGAAGGAGACAGCATCTTTAAAAAATCAGTATATTAAGGAGCCGGGAATAAAAGTCTGGTTGCCCTCCTTCACTACACAGATAGGAAAGAACTAGTGAATCACAGCAGGTCTAACACAAAATGGACCCACTGCTTTTAATAGAAAAACTCCTACAGCATGCTATGGCATTTAGAGATGACTGTGCAGTTGAATTTTCTTGCAAAGACACACTAAACTTGGATATGACTGACTATGTGACTGCTTCTTATTTCAATTAGATATTGCTTCTGCCTCCAGAGCTCATACCCGGAATAAAACTTCTTTCAAAGTTATGGCTTCTGAGATGCAAGATATTGCTCCAGAGCCAAGTCTAATTTTGTTATTTTCTAACAAACCTGTAAAAGTTCAGATGAAAAAAGAAAGGTGCTTTTAATTCTACAAATTTGTAATTTTATGTTATTGCTTGGAAGGCATTTTACATAGGAAAGGCGTAATTTAACTGAAGCAGAGTTTTGTCAAGACCCTTGTATTACATTAATGCAGAGGATTTTTTTGTTTCATTTTGTTTTCCTAAATAGAGGGAGGATTAAGCTAAATTGAACTAAACAAATAATCAACACAATGCTCTGGGTGTGTCAGCAGTATTTTTTTCTTCTTTCCTTCTCGTAAGTGATTGCCTGGCTTGGTAAATAGCATTTCTGTGGCTTGGATTTTAAGGTGACAAATATTTTCACTCTGAGAGAACACTCAAGCGTCCATGATACTTTCTGTGATTCACTGGCTGTACACATACCGGCTGTACATATATCCTCTAACCTCAACAGCAGCTCCCCAGAAGTTGAGAGCCACCTAAACCCCTCAATAGATCCCAAAGTTGCACTCTGGCTCCAAATTGTGAAGTTTATTATTTTGGGCTTTAAGCACTGAGGGCTTCATGCCCACCTCTCTCAAAGTGTTTGTATTTATTGAGCTGTCCTCTCTGTAAAATGTGAATTTATCCATATGGCACCTGTAGGGAGCTCCTTATAAGTGAGGCAAGTTGGAGCACTTTGGAATAGTGTTTTTGTGCCCAAGTTTCCTATCCCAAAATTGAACTAAACTCAGTTTGGAAAGCACACAAAGCAAGTAAGCAAGCTGCTGACTAGTTCTGACTGCCTCACCGTTAACAAGGCATTGATACTTCACCCAAATGCTGAATCATTACTTCTCTCATGCTAATGCACAGAGGAGGGTGGTGGTGAGATTTTCCTTTTAGAAAGGCTGCAACTGCTGCTTTTCATCTTGAAGCAATTCTTCCCCAAGCAATACTGTACTGGGCCATGCTCACTCTTTTGCCTGTTCCACTGCTCTTAGGTAGCCTCCTGTGATGACGTTCATTTGCTCTATTTTTCCAAACCCACTGACCCAACATTTGCAATGTTACTGCTTGATTTGTCCTATCATATTTATTTTGAAATAAATAGCTACAATAGATCATCACATGTAACAAGCAGCTCTTTGTTATTGCTCTGTATTTTTACAAGCTCGTGCAGCTTGAAGTGAAAATACAACACAAGTTCATTCTGCTATTCCCATTCTCAGACGACCAGGAAATAAGCAAAAATGCTGAATCTCAGACATCCAGGGAGCCCGTCACAACAGGACTACTCTCCTTCTACATTCTCCAAGCATGTCTTTTGCTGAGGCTGCCCTCTTCAAAGGAGAGGCCAAGATCAAAGGCAGACCCAGCTCACAGATACCTCTCATAGCTACCATCCACAGCCTGATCATTTGCTTCAAATGTTTTTGCTGATAATGAAAGAACTTTCCCACAACTGGTACCCCACCACACTGTGACTTTCTGTAGAAGGTTATCCAGAGAAAATCCTGTGGATAAACCTTTATAAAAAACTAAAGTCCAAACCACAGGCTATTTCATTCACACTCAGGTGCAAAGAGCTCGAGCAATGGTTTATCAGCAGAAGGATTGAAAAGTACTTGCTAGGAAAAGAAAGCAGTGGTGCCAAGGGCTCACTGTGGCCGCAGCTTGGCTTTGCCCATGATGTGTCCACAGGGACCATCTGTCACAGCATCTTCTGGTGAATTGTGTACAGCTGAGCCCTCTTATCTTCAGGGATTCTCACATAAACAGCAATGTCCAAGCAAAACAAGGGAGCCAGACTTCCCAGATGGGCATCAGGAAGGCAGGTTGTATATTTGTGGGAGGCAACCTCTGACAACACTTTTTCACAGAAAAATGGTCTATGGGCTGAGGTCTGTATCTGTGGGAAAGTCTAATATAACTGATATTTACACTTCACCCTTGGTTTGGAATGACCTCCACGTCGCCCTGCCTGAGCATCAGAAACACACTTACCTCCAGCTGGGATGTTATTCTCAACTTCATGTTGTAAAGCAACTGTGCAACTTCCCTTAAACTTGGCAGGACTTCAGACCAAAACTTACCACTCATTTCAGGATGTCTCCAGGCCACTGCTGAACAATTTCTCTTTACATTCTTTCCATTAGTTTAATGCGTAACACACACTGTACTCCCCACAGTCAGATATCCCCTGCACTGTTTTACTTTAGGTTGCTTTAGTCTACACATTAGCAAGCCTGCACAAAGGTAAGGCTTGCTAATGCTTTGAGAAAATGTTTACCTTCATCCATGCCATTGAGTATTTCAGTTAAGTCTTCATGTTTGCTGTCATATTGGTGCTCCTTCCATGTTTCACCATTTTCACTTCGAAGTACGATTAGTTCTCTTTCCTTTCCTCTCATTGATCCAAAATGCGGGATTTCCACTATGACAGGGCTAGAGAAAAAGGAATCATAGTATTTTTAACCCTATATCTCCTCACTGCCCTTTATCTCCTATGGCCATCAAGTCCTTAAGAAAACTAAAGTCTTTTTAAATACATAACACTGTTATGATAAAAATGTTTTTAAAATTGCCAAAGCTGCACAATCCTTTATCATTTAAACTATAATTAATAGATAACTTGAAAATATTAATATATAGCTCAATTTTAATGTAAATATTCTGAAACGCCTGCCTACGTGATAAAATAGTGACAACCTTTGCTAAGGAGAGTTTTCCCTGCTGCTTTATCCCAGGATGCAGGTGATCCAACCTGCCTCCAGCACACCCATCACTGCTGACCCTTAATTGGCACTAGCACAGTCAAAGTTTGGATTTGTCTCAAGAGATCTAAAGGGGGCAAAGTCAGTTCCAGAACAGTCCAGCTATCCAAATGCATGCAACGGCTATTGACTGTAGCAGGAACTGCACATGCATGCATGTTTTAATTTTCAAATTAAGTCCCAAAGTTTTCAAAGCTCTCCCTGGCTCTCTGTTGCTGCAGCTCCTGTGAAATAGAAGAGGTTGTTTCTCATTAGCTTCACTTTCTGGTTCTCATGCCCAAAATCACAGCTGCAGCATCTGCACTGTAAACATCACTGGGGAATGTTTAGATCCTTTCAGAATGAATTTCTCTGAGTTAAGCAACATCACAACCACATTTATATTAGTTACTGTCAAACATTTTGGGAGGAAGGAAAGGGAATGAGAAGGTGGTTAATAATACATTTACATCACCAGACCATGTACCTTCAACAGAGGACGGTAAGTGCATTACTGAACAGTTACTGTGAACAACCGACAGAAACCACCGGTCACTTCATGTGCCATTCCTTAACAAAACAGACACTTTTGCCAAACACTTCACAGGCAAGATATGCATTTTAAAGTATGCTAAGACAAACTGACTGAAATCACACAGTAAGTGAACAATTATGGATTATGCAGCTTTAAGACATTTAAATAGACAGTATCATTATTTTCCTACAGAGGTTGTAGAGGATCTCACTGCTTTGTAATAACTCAGTTAAAAAGTAGCATCACATGATAGGAGAATTATGCAGCACTTCTATGGTACTGTACACCTGCAAGATGTTGGGTGCATTAAGCAATCAATTACCTGAGCACGGAAATCACAACAGCCATTACGAGGAAAAACATAAACTAGTTAGGTGGAAGTCCAGTTTTTACATTAAATACCAGGGGAAAAGTGTTAGATAGTTATTTTTCCCCATGAAAAAAAGAGTCACTTTAATTAATACGTATGTTAGATGCCTTTAAGAACACCCAGGCAGTTAATCTAATGTCAAGTCCTTTGAGAAGAAATAGGAATGTAGCTGCTGTCTCCAATTGTGCACAGCAAGTAAATACCAAATATTCAAATACATTGCTTAAGATATTTACTCTCTAGTTCAAAAAGAGCACAAACTTAACACTGTAGTACAATCTTTGCAGGCTAATATTTCAGATACTGTCTCTGTAAATATTTAGAAACCACACAATTCTGTGCATGACATTTAACAAGAATACTTAGTGAGAAGGTATTGAACAGGTTTGGAACACCAAACACTCACCAATATTTTGAAAACCTAATGCAATAAATTTCACAATATGGTTTGAAAGCAACAGTCAAAATATACAGAAACATTCTTACACTTTTAGACTACAGACTGCAGTTCCTTTGGACAGCATACATGGTTTTACAAATTTATTTTAACAAAATGCTTCTTGCAGGTTTAAAAGATTAGTATTTCTCCAGCCCTGCTGAATGAAGTTATTCACCCAATGACATTTTTTCTAAATAATCTTTCATAAATAGTACTTTATGTGATCACATTTTACAAATGCTTTTCCCAAAACAGACTCACTCAAGGCCTGTAAATACCTTCTCTACAACAGGGTTGAACTTAAAGGACTGTCACTGTGTATTAAAATGTATTTGATGCAGTTGAAACACTTCAAATTTAAAAAATTACAAAAGCACAGAAGTTATGAAAGCAGAATGCTGGCAGTGAATTTTACATGCCTAGAAGCACAAGGTAGTAGCAGAGCTATATTAAATCAAGCCACTATGATTTTCTTTCAGTGACATAAATCAACTGAAAGCTTTAGAAAACTTAAAAAAAAGAAAAAATGGGAACAAAAAATTGGAAACAAAATAAAAACTGTAGACATTCTGTATCTTTTCCGTACGTATCCTACCCAATAAATTTTGTTCCTTGTGGACCAAGCTGCAGGATTCGGCTAACCATGCTCTCGCCCTCATTTAGAGGGGGAGGAGTGTTAGGAAGATGCAGTTTACTGAATAACATCCATGCAGCAGGAAGAGAAACAAGAAGGGGAAATTAGGAACAAGCTGTCATTCCCGACAGAATCAGCAGTTTACACCAGGGTGCCACTCATGGTAATGAACAAAATTTATAATTAGGAAAAAAAAAAGCCACATCATAGTGGATTGTTTCCCTTACTTTAAGCTTAAAAAAAGGTCACTTCCTAGCATTTGTACGACTTGATACTCTACAGTAAGTGCTCTGCCATTGCTCTCAGTGGCTTTGCTCCGTGGGATGGAAACAGGCAGCTCCCAGCAACTCTGGCTGGAGCCGCCCACATGCCGCGGCATAGGGACCAGACCTTCATATTTGAGTCCTTGTGTGTGACTTTAGGACACTTTTTTTTGTGACGGTGATGTTCCTCTGATACTCTGTGAGCAAGGGGGTCAAAACCTGTTCTGGATTGCAGGTGTGCGACTCCTCCTGGCTTCAAAGGCAGGTTACATGAGTAAATGGGGGCAGGACTGGGCCTTTCCGTGGCTTTCCTTACCTTAGGCTCCACCTTGTAGTCATCACAGAGGCAAAGTTCCCTTTAAAATACAAGGGTACTTTCTGGAAGGAATGGCAGGTTGGCATTTTTCAATATTTCAATTTAAGTAGCCTGTCTTACATGCTCAAATGAGGCAGAGTCAGTGTTGTAACTACTTAGATCCACAGGATAAAAGAAAGGAAAGGTGAAACATGAGTGCAAACAATGAAATTCATAGAACAACTCACCCTAAAAATTGTGCCCCTGCTGGCCCCATTTCTACAAGTCTACTCGCTAATCCTTCTCCTTCAACCATCGGCGGTGGGCTGGCCAGTTTATGCCTCTTTACCAAGCGGCAGGTGATGCGAGTTGGTGCTGTACACTTCCGTGGTGGGATAATTATTCTCATTCCATGATGGCGACTACCCCTCATTGAACCCCCACGTGCATCAACCATAAAACTAACCAGGAAACTGTAGGAAAAAGGAAACACGTCAATGAAAATGGTTACAAAACAAGCAGAAGATCAGCAATAAGTCAACTGCTACAGTCTTTAAAGCACTATTAGAAAAGTCCTCCCATTCTTAGCTAAACTAAAAGGAACATGAAGATTCTTTTAAAACTTATACTTACATGTTAACTATTGGTTGTCAAAAGCAGGAATTGCTAAAGGTCTAGCAATGTCATGGTAAAACGAACAGGTGCTACTGAGTAATTTGGATTAAAACAGTACACGAGTAGTGTATTAGTAGTGGTTTATTAGAATGTTAAAACAACTCTGTTGCTGTTAGCACTACTGTCCATAAATAAGAGCAATTAGCCTCACATGCAGAAAGGAACCAGACAGCATAGAAAAAGAAGACTCAAAAATGCTTTTTATTTTTGGGATCTCAGTCTTCAAAACCTCCTCACAGTCTTGTTTGCAAACAATCCTGATGGCTGGCACAGCAAGTGCTGGCACCACGGGTGACAGTCTGTCCAGGCTACTAAGGGCATCCACTGGTGGGGAATAAGTGAGAATATCAAGAACGTAACTTTCTTTAGGCATGGCACTCTGGAAGAAGTCACGCCATTACTCCTCTGTGAAGATGACATTCCTTAGCAAAAAGCGACATTAAAGAAATATCGCATATGTCAGTGTCATTCCAATACATAATTTTCCATTTTGTGGTAGAAGGGTAAGCAACTATATTTGTAAGGGGTGAGTGGTAGATTTTAAAATAGAACTATTTTTATTAGGAAGGGAATAATAAATAGTAACAAGAATAATTGTTAATAGCCGTGATTTATTTCATATATGAAAAGCTGAGAAGCTGCATACATGAAGTGCTACTGTCTTTAACAGAACAGTGACAGGAAAAGGGAGGCTCCTCCCAGGACCAAAACCAGACTTCAGCCTGTTTCAAAACACTGCAGCAGAAATCCTTCCAATTTACGGAGGTCAAAACATACAGCTTCCTGCAGGGCTAAACAGTTATGGGGAGGTCTCTTCTGGTGCTCCTAAACACCTTCCCTTTTTTCCGTCCCATAAGCTGCTAAGAGAGAACAGCTTCAGGCAGGAGATGCAGTAACAGGACAGTATCAAGACGGACATGGATTACCAGCTCAGTCTTGATGCCAATACATTTTTTGTTCGCTCCTTCTGTGTGATATGCAGACACTGACATAGCTGGCACATCTGTTGTATGGTTTCACTATTTTCAAGGCTGTTGCAAAAACTTCCAGATCTTAAAGACTAAACCTTCACATGATTAACAGGTGAAGCCATTCAATTTCCTAGTTCCCTACTGTAAACAGAACTAAGGGTAAGAGCCAATAATCCAGGGAGATTGTGAAGATTCCTTTAAAAAAGCCCCCAAGAGCTCTGAAGTATGAATAGGAATATGTGCAAGTCAGTTACATTCGCTTTTGAGACCAGCAGGATATCAAAAGTAACAGTTGATGTGCATTGGCCAGGCCTGCAAATAAACTGCATTCGGAAGTCCAGCCAACATGCATGGGGAAAATCTGCACAAAAGCAGGAGTGTAATCAAAACTTGGTACTTAATGGTCTGCAGGAGAGAGGCGGGTAGGAACATAAGCTGTAAATACATGAAGCAGGACAGAAAGGTTGTCCAACTGAATTCCAAATAAAGAAGTTTCTATATTGCCTGTCTTCAAACCAAATTACAATCCATCAGTAAAGATGGAGAGGTGAAACAACCCCCTGAGATGACCTTAGCCCCGATTTATTATTTCTTGTGCCCAAGATACTTTTTAGAATACTGAAGCGTGGAATAAAATCCACAATGTTCCACAGTAGTTTTCATACAAATAAATTGCATCCACATTCTTCTCCTAGATAAAGACACTGCACTCTACTGAACAAATCCAAATGTTGCCACTAGGGTATCTCAATTCCTCACACGGGGAATTACTTCAGTGCGTCAGGATCTTTGCTGAATGGCTAACCAAGCGCTTTCTACAAATATTAGATCTATATCAAAACCAATATGCTCAATCTTTAAATTAGAGAGTATATAAGTTATAATATTTATAGATCACAACTCTGTAAACTCTGTTGACTAGAACAATTTTCTGTTTTCTAACAAAAGGCTGTACCAAGCGGAGATGCCAGCTCTGGAGAGGCTGGACCCTTGGTCCCCTCTCCCCTCTGCTCATGGAGCACTATTAGCGTCTCAGCATGTTTATGTTGTTTTTTCTCCCTGCAACTGCTCTATACAGTGGGTGGTGAAAGCTGATGATAGCTGAGCGTGTGGAAGGGTAGGCCAATGGTTGGTCTTCAGAGCTGACAAGGAGCCAGCTTGTGACTAGCTGTGAAGAGAGTTCAAGACAATTCATTAAACTTTACTATGAAGCAAAGTAAAATAGAAAGCAGGGACCAAAAACCCTTGGTCACGGAAGGGAGAATACTGAAAGGAATCTGTTATGATTGGTGCTTTGGTGACTTTTTAAAAAATGTGCATGGTTTTTGTCTGCAGAGAAGATGGGGTGCCACTTCAGACTACACGGAAGCGTGCAGGGCAGAGGGGTGGCTGACTGGAGCATCCCTTCAGGGTTGGTGCAGCAGCAGCTCTGGGGAGGCACATCTGGTCAGTGCACCACAGAGCGATGGAGAGAGCAGCCTCCCAGGGAGCTTGGCAACACTGAGCTTGGCCTGAGGGCTCAGTACAAGGCAATGTTTTGGAGAGCTGCCTATCATGTACATGATTACTGGAATGTTAAGGCAGCTCATAATTAATTTAAAAAAAAAAAAAAAAAAGGAGTTTTTCATCATATGCAAAAATGACGAAGCTTGCACTCAGATAAGATGCCTTCTCTGTATCCAAAGTATTTAAATGGATTTTCAAAAATATGTAGGCACCTCAATGAACTGACTTCAAATAATACAGAAATCAATGGAAGCTAAAACTAAGTACCTATAAAAATCAGGCCCCAAGTTCCCAGGTACATTTAGAGTGTAGATTTCAAGGTCATGCAGAGATAGCTGAGTTGGGTTTGATGACAGGCACTGATACCAGTCCAGCCTTGGCAACCTGGGGCTTAGGACTGCTAATGCACACTGCTCACAGCAATGGTAGATTAACCCTTAACATGAGTCTGTGCCCTACCACAGGAACTAGCCCATTACAGCCAGCTTTGGTGTCTACAGCACGCTGCAGCCTTCAGTGAAGACAAAACCTTTACCAGATCAGCCTTTATGCATATTGCTCCCATACAAAGGTTATCATTGTCAACAGCATATTAATTATCTCCTTGTTTAGTTTTCAAATCAGTAATTTACTGTTTAAAACAATAACAAGAATTCCAAACAGTATTTCATGCACTTTCTATCAAAAAGATTAGTAGCTGATGCTTACCCAAATTAATGCTACACTAATAATGGAAACTACAATATGATCTCTGAAACACAACGCTAATTGCTAATGAGCATTTCTACTTGAGTACATGGAAGGGATGAGGATGTGGGTGGATGCACTACAAATGTCTACAAACACTCTGTGGGAAAAGAGTTAAAAAAAATAAAATGAGGATTCACAGAAAGCACAGAGTTATCACCTTGAATCATACTGGGGAAGTGGAGAGGAATAGCTGCAAAATAATTTAGAAAGCAAATGGGAAAAATTAATTTAAGATAATTAGACGCAAGCAACAAAAAATATCAATAAATACAAAAGAAAATGTAACAATCAAAAAAATAACAAAAGCAACATTTTCAAAGGTCAACTTTAGAAATTATTTGGCTTTTGCTTTGCATATCATGACCTGTGTCGTATAAAATATGCTACACATGAAAAAAAATCCAGAAGAGTTTATTTAATTCATCAGCACAAGCTTATAACTTCTCTGAGAAATGCAGAAGCACATGGACAAAAGAAAACCATTTGCAATTTGCTTCGGTCAACAGAGAATTTATTGTAAAACAACTTATTTATTTAATTCCCAAAACATGCTCCACTGTGCCATGCAAAACCAGTTCTTGTACTTTTCTATAGCAGTTTATTTTCCAAAGTATAACCAATAAAGATATGTATAGCAGGATACTTGAAAGGAGTATCACTCCATGCCATTCATTACACTGCTTTCAAAAATTAGTTCTGTGTGTATAGGAGTCTGGAGTAAACGATAATTAATCTGATGCATTCCACCTTGCAAGACTGGATTCTGAGCTTCTCAATATAGAAGGCAGTGTGACATTAATTTCTTTCTTTCAGCTAAGAAAACCAAGGAGTTAAAAAAGGCAACACGAAGAGAGCACACCCACATTTTAGTTTGGGAAAGTTGCATAAATAAGCTCACATCTGAAAGCTGAAGGTCATTTTGGTGAAGGGTCTCTCCCCTTCCAGAGGCCTCAAGATTCATGACACATTTTAATGTGTTGCTTACAATGGACCCTGTTCAAAATATATGCTGGCAAAACAACTTATCTGAACTCAAAAAAGGAAAACATAAAACATTATCTTGGCTTAAAAAAAAGGAAAAACCAGAAGAGTCAAAATTACTGCCAATAATTCCTTCTTTCTTCCCTTTCACTGGCGCATTGCTGGATCTCCACATCCTGCTCCCAAAATTTCCCCTCTGCCACAGTTAAGAAATGGGAACAAACTTTGATGCTCTCTTCTAGCAGTAGGTAAATGGGAAAAGAGCAACCGGAGGGAGCAGGCTGCAGAGGAGCTCCCCTCACACGGCACATTGCAGAGCTGGGGGAGGATGAGGAATGCCAAGAGCAGTGAGGTCAGGCCCTGGCCACAGGGTAACATGGACCACAGACCACGAGGGCTGCTGACAGCAGATGACCCCAGGCAGCATATCTCTGCCTATGACCACTCAAAGAACCCAGGACAAAGCCAGGGAATGGAGCACTGTGAACAAGCAGAAAAGGAGTTGCTTTTCAGAGGAAGACTGTCAGAAAAAAAGTGCAAAGTCCCTATCCTCTGCACATCAGATATGCTGAAGTACTGGAAGATGTGAAGGGAACATCTGCTGATTGTCCCTAGATGAAGATAAGAGGGAAAACCAAACAGTATCATATTATAACATGGGGCCACAGCTGAAAGAAAAATAAACATCAGTGAGGTTTTTTTTCTAACAACAGAACCGAGTCATCACAGCATCATTTCTGATGGACTTCATCTGTCAAATGAGAAATGTGACAAGTCAGAAAAGCTATACCTGTTTGGAGAATATTTTGGCTCTTAGATTCTCTCCCTCCCCTGCAGCCCCCCAGGTGGTTGCACTGCTGCAGGTCTGCAGCCCCTTCCCCTCTGGGCAGCAGCTAAGGCCACATTTGTGTTCATAGGGACTGATGTACAAACGGAGCAGATCTGAAGTAACTGACACAAAAGATCCTATGTTGACAGAATATATTGGTTTTGGAGGGTTGGAACCATTAGTGAGAATGCTGAAGAACTAAGGGCAAAGAAGAACTGTCCCAGAGGACTGGCAGGACGCAAACATCAGACTTGTTTTGTATCAGGACAAAAAGGAGCCAGAAAATTTTAGACTGATCAGTCTAACCCCAATTACCAGAAATACTTAGGAATAAATTATCCAGACATCAATCTATAAGGGCCTAAATCAAGAGATTACAACTCACCTACCACCAGTCCTCAAAATAAAAACAAGCCAAAATGGAAATGGCAAGAGTAACTCATGTCAAAGGAATTTAAATTCCTTCTTTGACAAGGTAACTTACCCAGTGGATATGTGGAAGTACCATCTTGGAATTTCACAGTAAGCAATCAAGGTATAACATAGACAAGGTAAGTGCACAATCATCTGAGAAGTTACCTCAAAAGAGATACTATCAGTGCTTTACTGTTAAACTGAAACTTCAAATGGAAATTTCACTGTGCTGTCCTAGGCCAGGTACTAAACTAATGTTTTCCCTTACAATTTGAACACTGGACAGAAGGAAGGTCTGAGAAGTCTTCGGAAAACAGGATCAGAATTAAAATCTATCTTGCTAAAGTGGAAAAAGGGTGTGGAACCAACAAACCGAAATACAGTAAAGGCAAATAGAAACAGAGGGAAGAAACCAAACACATAAGTGCAAAATGTAGAAAAAATAACCAAACTGCAGAATTTCAGAAAAGAACCAAGAAATTCCAGCAGATCACAAGTATCTGTCAACAGAAACTGCAGTTACCAAAATAATGATTCTCATTATGGCATTGCTTGACATCAGGTGTGTCACGTGTCAGACCAAAGAGCTAGTGATCCTGACCTAGCCAGTACTGGTGACATGTCTTTGGGAGTCTGGTGCCCAAACTGCCTTAGAAATAAGCTATCATCAAAGAGAGGAGAGCCAGGGGACAGCAGCAAGAATGCACTGAAACGTGGAAAGCAGCACTTAGGAGAATCTGGGACATTTTAGTCTATAAAAGAGAGGATTACATGTCTTCCAACACATGAAACATTGTTAAGAGACCAGTAAGATTCTGTTCTCCTATACTACCTATGGACACGAGAAGAAATAGGCTTAATCTGTAGGAAAGAAACGTTCATATGAATATCAGGGGAAGAAATACCATAACAAAGGATAGTGAAATACTGAAGCTGGGGGACCACAGAATCTCTTATTTTTAGCAACTATGAAGAAATTAAATATTTTTCAGGAATGGCTTGGCTACATTTTATCCTGCTGTAATGCAAATGGATGGACTACCAGCTCTCTGAGGCCTTTTGCTGATGTATCTTATCTCAATAAACAGTAGACTTCAGCTTTTCATACTGTAATTCTTGAAATTTCAACTCTGGCATTAAACATATGGAGTGTTTTATCAGCTCAGGACCCAAAAATCCACCGTTGCCTAGTTCTGTTCAGCAGAAGCAGGTGCTTACATGTTTGTGGGACTTTAGCTTTAGATTTGTGGGACTTGCTGGTATTTTGAAACTGAAATCTTTTGGTATATGCTGCACTCATTTTCATTATAAGAATGCAATTAGTCACAAAATGGGTAAGCAAATTAAAAAGGATATGGAATTTTATGTCCTGATGTTGAAAATTAAACAACATTTATACTAGACAATCTCCTATGCAATGATTCATCTCAGTTGCACATTTATTTGTAATTAATACACATTCAAACATTACTACTACTGCATTTAAATTAAGGTTATGTGGTACTGTCAAGAAGCATCACAACTACAGTGATGACTCATACGTAAATGAATAGTGTTCCTAAAGTCAAACTATAGATACTCGAGAATAAGCATGTGTTTGAAGGTAAAAATAAAATAATTATTTAAATTAAAGCCCGCCATTTTTTCTTCCATGGAAGAACAAAAAACATAACATTGTATCTCTTATTTTGTATTCCAAATAATTTAATACAATTCAAACAAAATCACCTTATGACACTTAAAAGCAAAGCATAAGCAACAGAAAAAGCAAAACAAGGCTATTAAAGAGAAGCCTGTGGGATTACAATGTTTTGGCTTTCAGAAAATTAAGTGCAGAAGCAAGTTTTTGGTTTGATATGCAAGAATTTAGAATTACTCCTGTTATTAAGCACCCTCATTGAAGTCAGTGTGGATTTTGCCACTGGCTTCAACTAGAGCAGGAACAGGCATGTTATCAGCCACTACAGCAGGCTGTATTCTTCAGCTAACAATACACTTCCACGTTTAAAGATAAAAGAAATTCGTTAAGTGACCTACCCAGAATGGATGGGACTTGAAACAAGGTTAACATTATCCAAGGTGTCTGCGGCCCAGCTATAGTGTCTCAGAGAATCAGAATCAAACTCCCTTTGAAATGTCAGGTGCTTAAAAAAAGAATACAAAAGATAAATTAAAATTTAAAATTAACATGAAGAACACTTGTCTTAAATACATACTTGTTAATATAATTCTAGTAAATTTAGATGTGGACCCTTTCCACATCACAGTGCTGACATCACACATGTTAAATTACTGGAAATCCCGCAACAGAAATATAGAACCTGCAGACAAATTAATCTTGCATATATTCAAACTTTCTTTTTTGCCCACTTATCCCACTTCCTTCAGTTACAACTGTGGCCCTCTCTAATCTTTACTTACATGTGCAGCGTTAAAAAGAGTGAAAAAAACATTACCATTTGTACTGCAATCATACACTGTATAGACAGGCAGTCTAATATTCCCCCACAGAAAATGCCATTGGATCGATCCTTATTCAAGAAGAACCTGTGAATAACTTCACTGAGAGTTTAGCTGAAGCTGTGAATGCATGACCAAGCTCCCGGTGGGAGGGTTTAGTTTGTCTTTATACATGTACAACCAGCATGAACACTGTCTTCAGGAGTGCCACTGTCCCTACTCACCTATATAAAAATAACTCTAGCCCTGTGAAGCACTGACGCTCTGGTGTTATAATTAACTGCCCCATCTGACAGACACGGAGGTGTAATTTGTTTCTTGCTATTGCCCATGGACATGAGTGTGCACACTCATGTGTCCTTTGCTCCACAACAAGGTCTCACACTATAAATCCTTTTATCTGTATAGTAAAGCCATTCTAGTAAAATATTCTTTTTTCTTTCTTTGTTTCTTTCTTCCTAGGAAATTAAACAAATGAAATTTTCAAATACTTTATGCCTGTATTTCCAGGGTGATACGAAAGCCTCTAAACAATTTAAGCATCATCAGAAGCTGCATTAATAAAACCAAATCAAGAAGGTGTCATGCAACACACACAGACTATCTTCACCCAGGATGGTGTTAATGTTGTCAGTGTTTCCTCTGAGTAGGTTGTTTTCTGCTTACAGGCAAATACACCTAGAGAGAACAGAGTCTGTGAACTGTAAAACCTTACAGGCTGTTTCCAAACTAGAGTCTGTGAGTTCAAGACAAACCTGAGCCAAGCACACACTTCTACACAAGAAATTTTTATTATTTCCACCTTTTTTTTAAAAAAAAAAAACAAAAACAAACCTGTACTGGAACATAGAGGTAGTGAAAATTAATTATTTTGAATAGAAATATCAGCATTAGTAGTAAATCTGCCAAAGTCATAAGCATACAAAAAAATTTCTGTTGAGAAGCTTCAATAAGCAAGCAGATAGTGCTCTGTTGTTGGACAGAACCTGCAACCCAGCCATCATCACTCTGAGGTTTCAAAAAACTTCTCTCTTTAAACATTTATTTTATTTTAGATGAGCAGCCCAGATTTCCTTCCAAAAACCATTCACATTATAATTTACTGCCAATCAATAGAAACATCCACAGGGTACAACTTTGCTCTGTCATCTGTCCAACACTGTGCCACATGCCTTGATGCCTCCTTCTGTTCCACCTTAACTCTTTTATTAGGATCTTTCATTAAACTTTTTGCTGTAAGATATGCACTTTAGGCCTGATGGTCAAGCACAGCGGACAATGACAGTAAGGGGCAAACCGGCATATGTTAAACACCAAAATACACCATCAGACATAAAAGATAAAAGGAATGCCATTAAAACAATGATGATTAAGCAATGGCAGTGGCTTTAATTAGCACCATTTTGAAAAATGTATCATAATTTAGTTTGATGAAGGCAGTTTTCTAACTCTTTCCAATAGAACAGTAGGGATTCTCCTACATTTCCCTGAAGAGATGCAATTTAGGCAGGAAAGCCATTGCTGTGGATTTCTGCTATTCCAAGTGATCTAACTTTGCAAGAGCTCATACTGAGTACGTTATTACTTTTGATACCAAACAGTGTAAGATCCAGACAGTTGGTCTCAGAAGTTGTAAACATTTAGATAAACAAGAATAAATTTATTCCTTTGCTCAGTGATTATCATCAAAAATAGGTCAAAACATAGAAACATAAGAAATGTGTTAAAAAAACAACCCCACAATTTAGGGTTTGTCATTCAAATGCCTGCTAAGCCATAACAGTGTCACTGCACTGAGGTCCAGGCGTGCACCAGGACACACACCGCAACAAATAAATTTGGGATCATGTTTGCTGTAACAGAAGAAAAGTTTCTTCAGCAGTGTGACACAGGAAGCTAATCCTAGGGCCACATAATTTCCAAGGAAACACCAGCACTCTAAAATAATCTGTGCTAGACAGAAGTGCTACTACGCCCACTAAATTGCTGTAGGTTTGCTTACACGCATACATACAGTTCCTTAGTCTAGTCCTTTGTCCTGAGATCCTGCCAGCATATCAGGTGACTATATCTTTTGGTGCATTCTGTTCTGAAAAAGTGCACTCAAACAGATCTCTTGGACATATTTATAGCCAGCAGAAGCACAAACCCTGCAGCCAAGAATTTTGGCAGAGAAAGAGAGTAAGAAAAGCTAATAGTCGAACCCATGTATCTTACAGTACACATCTGTTGATCTCATTTTGTCGGTCTGTTGAGGTGCTGGATTTTCCAGGCAGGCAAAAGAAATCTTCCTGCGTAAATTGCAATGTAAGCAGTTCAGAAGATGGTACATCATCAGCAACATCAAATCACAGGATTCATCCTGTGTTTGCTCAGGCCCCATTGCTCCCTCCGTGGACTGACAGAGATTAAATATGCATTGCTAAAGGGCGTGGGCTCGTTAGATGCAAATACATGTATAGAAATACTGATTGCTCTGCTGACAAGGATCCTTCTGGTTGTGTAACTGAATATCCAGGCTGCGTAATATCAAAGTTCAGCAAACAGAAAAATTTATGCTTCCTCCCAGAAGAATTTATCCAGACAGAAGAGATTCAGCAAGCTGCTATGTAACGAACAGCCTGATTCATCCTGCCTTTGGCTTATTAAATTCAGAGGCTGATGTAAATTATTCCATGGAGAAAGTCATTCTGATTTGGTCTGAGTTGCTGCATCCATGGTAACACACCAGGACACAGAAATTTAACTTTGTTCCAGACAGGTTATGAGGCACGTTATGGCCTGGACTCAGACTTCCCTGGTGAACAGGGTCAGCAATAAACCACCAAATGCAAACAATGGAGAATATCTCAACTTCTCAAGGTATTATTAGAAACTCTTCCCTGATACTCAATATGTCATGCTGGCAGTCGGGTTCAGTAAAAACTGGTTTCAAATCCTCCTTGTTTGACTCTTTCTAGACTCCCAAGTCTCCCAGTGATCTTGGGAAGGGGTGGCTGTGGGATCTTCCGTTTTAACCTGATCAAGAGGCTGACACATGCCCCTTGCTCTTTTATATAATTATTTTTGTGATAAAATTAATTCCCTTTACTCTGAGACTTTTTTGTTGCCATGAACTCTAGACAGGTCTGAGCTTTACAAAAGAAGAGAAATGGAACATGCAGATAGGCAATGGCTCACTCCTTCAAAGTAGTGTGATACCCCAAACCAGCCTTAACTCCTATCAGTTTGGAGCTGGACATTTTAGGATATTAGTTTTGACCCACAATGATCTTCGATGTTGTGAATTCCATTGTTGGAACATGAGGCAGTTTTTTATGCTGCTTTCTACTGCCACAGCAGAGATTATCTAGAGGCCCAGTAATGTACAAAGGGAGGGATGGGAAGAAAAGATGCAGTGGTATTCTCCATCTCCTAATTGCACTCCTCCTGCTTCAGCCGGAGAGCTGTAAAGCTTACCACCACAGGTTTGGGCTGGACTGAAGAACACAGGAATTCCAGAGGACAGGCATATTTTTTTTGTCAGGACTTTGAGGTTTGCAGAAGCCGTAGTAGAAAATGTTAGCTGGGCTCCCTTTTTCATGAAGACAGTTTGTTGCTTTACTGTTATTTGTTTTTCAGGGGATCATAGCTTTACTAACCTCTCAAGAGAGGACTGACATTTTTTTTCCACTATCACCTCCACCGTTCCTGATCCCCTCTTGGACTTGAGAAACTCAAAGCTTCTCTAGAGGATTAAGATTAGAGTAACATTTACAATTAGACTGTCAGCCAGGCCTCCAGCCTGGCTTAATTTTATGTGACAAATTTGGACCAGCACTGAACTGCAATAATTGCACAATCATTGCTGGAACAAAAAAATTGAATAAACACAAATGAAAACAGCCTATGCTACTGCTCAGCACCAGCACTAGAAGGTTTTCATATTCAAGAACATTCTCAGCTCAAGAGCCAGCACTGCAAGAGATCCTCCAGAAAGCAGAGAGGTCCATGACCACTTGTAGAGAATATGAAGCTTGCCCCAACATAGAGCTCCTGTACATGATGTGGTGTCACCTCAAAGCCTCCACATACAGATAGAATTCTTATTTTTCTAGGGGAATTTTGTAAGACAAAACAGGTTAATACTGCACACTTTAAACTACGTTCTTTAAGAGTTATTCGGCATAATGCTGGTTTTAATTCTTGTTATTTGATCAAAGGCACCCTAGCTGCTAAATCAACGCCATCTATTTTGATAGTAATCACAAAAATGGCCAGAATCATAAAACAATGTAATGTGTTCTCAGACTGAAGAGCCTCCCTCTCCTCTGAAATTTCCACTTAATGAAGGCTTAGGAGTAAGAAGCGTCACAGTTACTTTAGGTTCTCGGTCTTGAAATACAATTTCTTGTTCCCAGCACGAGTAGTTGTAGACTTTATTTTCTGACTTCAAAACAAACTAAAGCAAAAAGATTAATGCTATGCAATATTCAGAAACTCTCCCTAGCTAGCTGTTGCAAATAAAGGTTATTGAAGGTTTACAGCATTTCACTTGAAAGTAACAACCTAATAATAAACATTCAGTTGCTAAAGAGAGAATCCAATTTCTGATATTGTCATAATGCTATAAAAACTGTGTGCAAAAGCCATAGTAAAACTAGGTAATTTATACTACACTGGAATTTACAGACTAAAACAATCAAGGTTTGAATTGTCCTGCTCTATGGACCCTTTCCCCCATGAAAGCCTCCTCTGAAATCAATAACCCCCTGTTTAGAAATACTTGCCGCTGCCAAGAGGAACCTCTTTGAAAACAGCAGTAGAAAACCTGTTTCATTACAATCCACCTTATGCTCTTACAGCACATAAACAACAGTTCCACTCCATAGTCCTTTAATTCCAAGTAAAGATTTCTATGTGGATTTGTATTCAGCTTCCTAGCAGATCTCTGGCCTTTGTGTATCAAGAAACTCTTGAGGAAATCAGTTAGATTTGAAAATCCAAAGCAGTCTACCAAGAAAAATGCTGATGAACTCAAAGCTCACAAAGCATACAGTACCGTACCATCTCCAGCATTAGCTTTTAGAAAGACTTTCCCACGCCATAATCAGGTCAAAAGATTCTGCTTTTGTTGTATTAGTCATTGCACAAATGTTTGGAAGATAAATAAACTGGTTAGTGCAAAATAGCTTAATCTTTACAAGGCCAAATTCTTCCCAAGGGTGGAAAAACAAGGACAGCAGCTGGAGTCCCCTCTATGTGGACAGAACGGGTGAACGTAATCCCCAGGTTATACAGGACAGACAAAGGTTTCTTAGTGTAAAACACATTGCTCCCAGTGTACCAAAGCAAAGGACACATGTAACATTAAGCTCATAGATGCTCCCATTGACTTCCATGCACAACCTCAGAAACATAACTGGTCCCTTTTGACTTGGGACCCCATCACTCTGTCTCTTGGAGGATCAAAACCCCAGTGTGGTAAACCCATGATTTCTCTCAGCTCCTTTCTTCTACCTTATCAATAGTTAAGAGAGTAGCAACAACCTCTGCAAACATGGCCGAGTGCTGCAGGCTGTCATCCCCTATAAACACGAGGCATGAACAGCTGCTGGCAGAGATGCAGCACATACCTGATCCTTTGCTGGTACCAGCAGTTCTTCAATCATCATGCTGTCTCGGGCATAAGAACTTCTGTTCAGCGTGTAGGACCTATCCGAACTGAAGGAGCGGAGGCTGTTGTATTTACCATTTATCATAGAAAGTGCAGGTGACAATGAGATGAACAAAAAACAAAAACAAAAAAATTAATACATGCAACTTCCAGGGATAGCATAAGATGGCAAAACATACATAATCTGTGAAATAAATACAGGGGAAAAATGGAATTATAAGTATTGGACTGCAGTTAAATATTCCCTTTCCTATAACATACATAAAGCAAAATCACAACATTTGCCAGTAATGCCGTGGCTTTAGAATAAATCCAGAAAATTGTATTCAAGTATTTAGATGAACTTTGATAAATGTCTTCGTGCTCTAATCCAGAAAGGAGGGAGACCCATGAGGGCACGTCCCAGGGAGAGCTGTGGGTAGGTTACAGCACCTGCCCACATGGCTCAGATTGCTGAATCAGGTTTAACTAAGAGCAACTTTTATGTGTTGTCATTGTCTTCGTGGCTGAATCACTTTTGACTTTATTATCAATACCCGAGTTATTCCTTTAGTTAGAAAAAAGGATAATAATTTTGAAATGAAAGAAGAAAGAAAAGAAATTTGCTTATTGATGATTAAATACAGATTACAATGCTTTGGGAATGATGTTGTGCATGCTAGACTATTTAGAAATAACTATGATCACTCTGAATGTGTTGCAATCAAATCAACATAGGAGCATATTACACTTAACCCTGGAAGGTACATTATGGTATGTGTTAAAAACATGCTGCAGGCCTTGACATGCTTACTACGTGACAAAAAATAAAGTAGTAAAAAATGTGAACTAATAAAAAGCAACATCCAACAACATATTATACTGTTGAACTAGTAACACTTTTCAGACTCAAAACTCTACAACTTGTTCCATGCATTTTGTAGTTGTTAATCAAGCTTTTCTAGTCCCTTAGCACACATTCCTCCTTGTGCTGGAAGCAGGACTGGGACCTTAATCACACACTGTAGGCGTATGTTAAGCAGACTTTTACATGATAAAGGGCATAGAGAAATCAAGTTACATTTGTTATAACAGAAGGTTATTCTCTAAGGCTGAGCCCAACCCTCCTGGCCAAAAATAAAAGCATGTCACTTTCCAATGTTGAATAAAATGAAGATGTGTGATGGCAGCAGCAGAAAGATGTAACACGATGCCATGCCTTCTTACCTGACTTTTGGACTAAAGCAATTTACAGTGGAAAAGAAACAGGAGAAATAGAAAGCAAATAATCAGACAGGAAAAGCAAGATGTTATGGCTGGATGGTTTATATATTTAATGTGTTTATTTCTTAATGTTACACTCAGAATCAGTAGTAAGATATACGCACTGAATATTTTTTGTTAAATAAAATACTACACAGGAAGAAACACTGTATTTATCTCCTCTGAGCATAACATGTGCAATGTAAAAAATGAGTTCCGCAGCAACAAATAGTAATGGCACTGCTAAAATCAGAAGCATGGGAATATTAGTTTTCTCTCAAATAAAAGATAAAACGAGGTTGAACCCTCAGATCTACCTAACAGATCTTGACTGTGAAATTCTGGTCTCCCACTTGCACAGTGAGAATTTAGGTGTATGCGGGAAGAGTACTGTGATGAGTAAAAGGTGTCCTGCAAATCGGTGCCCAGCTTTGTACACGAAGTGCACTCCCTTGCCACCATCACCGCAGTGCTTCAGACCTGACCACATCCAATAGTGCTGTACCATGACCTTGCTCATGTCAATTTGTGTTTAAAAGCAGCATGTCAGCTTTGGTAATTAAGTTTACAAAGACAGAAGATTCTCCCTCCAGATCTGTTCTGCTGATTTTATAGCTAATGGGCTGTTTAAATGCCTTTTGGCACTCCTTGTGAATGTATTATTAGATAAATACTTATTAACTTACCTAAAAATTGTAAGTGAAGCAAAACATGGCTGGGCACTACTAAAGAGGAAATTTGCACTGCATGCTTGCGTTTCTACTGCAACCATAACAAACAAGACTGAAGGGTAGGTTATCTAAGCTTTACCTTAGTTGGCTGGGAGTTGCCATTCACTGTTAGAAAATGAACTCACTTTTTAAAACAGATCTTTAAACTACAGTATAGGAAAAAGTCCTCAAGGTTCCAGCTTACAAGGTTTAATTATTAGTTTCAGCATGATTCAACTGTCAGTAAATACACTGCAAATCCACAACTATGAAAGCAATCTCTGCTCATACAGTTTTAACTGTTTTGAGCAACGCACAGGGCAGGCTTTATCAAGATTCAAAAATGAAATCTAAACCATTGATCTAGAAATACCCAAGTTGAAATTGCTGGTCAGATATTACATTAAGTTTAAAATATTTTATCGTTCACAGAAACTTTGGTCTGTTTTCTGTAACGCATAATCTGTTCCCTGTCAAATGAAACTCTGCAACAAATTTAGAGTACACCTGCTTTTCTATTTTTGGGAGCATTTTTCTTTAATGTTGGCTATCTCTATTGGATTACTCACTAGCACCCTTAAAGAAATAAAAGCACCAAAACAGCAAAATGATTGTCATTCAGTTTTTCTGGCATTTACATTCTTCAGCTAAAGTACTCCACTAAGGAATACCCTAATGTGAGTATCCATCTAACCAGCGGTAGTGAAAAGAAACCCATTTTTGTTAGCTGCTCTAAGTCAGTTTCTAGACCAGTTGCAAACTGCTACCAAAGAAGAGCCTTGGAGATGCTCAGAGCATGAACATATACCAGAAAAAGCGAATAGTTTTCTGTATCATTGCCATAAGAAGCCAACATGAATACAGAATATTAAATAAAACTGCAATGAACATATGCTTCAAAGTCACAGCATTATCACAACATGGAAGCACACCCCCTCTACTTTGCTTTGAAATTGACTCCAGCTTTGTGTGAAAGAGCGCGCTTGGTTTGTAAAAAGTTGTAACTGTGGTGACATGCAAACACAAGAAACAGCAAATACAATACCTGGCCGAGCGGGCTCCCAGGCTGAAGCCCATGTATCCTTCAGCAGGCAAAGAATCATCTCCCAACTCTTTCAGATCCTGGGGTCCAAGGTATTTGTCCGTGTCACCTGTCATTGCATCCTCACCTGCCAGTGCAAAAGCCAGGCTGAAATCAGAAACTACATATATTATAAATGTTTGTGTGCTTAGTAAGTCATAACGCCCTTCTCTGCTTGACAACAAGGAATCAATCCCGTCACCCCCACTTCCCCTAAGGCTTTTTCCATGTAGTGTGTCAATTATCTACCCTCTGAATGGGCCTGAGAAAATAATTTTATTGGGGGCAAATGTAAGAAGCAAAACTCCACCTTGACATAAATCCAATTAAGTTATACAAGGGATGACTTTTGCCCAATCATTAAAGCATGCTAAAGGGCTCTTCTGTACTTTGCACCATTGCACTCACTTTTGCCTTGTGTACTGAAAAGTCCAAGCTGATAAACTCAAGTTAGGTTATTCTGCCTGCAAAAAACCAAGAAAACAAAAAACGAAAAAACTAACAAACAAAAAGAAACCCACTCAAAACTTGTCCACAAGAGATGAGAGACAGCCTGGTTGCTCATCAGTACTGAAAAATGCAGCAAGCTTGAATGGCCGCTGAGTAAAAGAAGAGGCCCGCCTTCCACCCTAGGTATCCCTCAGTAACTTTCGCAAGTTTGAAACTTTCGCAAATTTGAATGTAAGAGGAGATTATTTACTCCTTTTTTTTTTTTTTTTTTTTCTTCTTCCTGCAGACAAGTACTCCATGGAGCCCCTCAGTGCGGAGGCAGCGGGGCGAGGCCCGGCGCAGCCCCGCGGGAGCAGAACAAAGCCTGTTCCCAGCGCCGCCGCCGGAGCCGGACCCACCGAGGCGACAGGGTTAATACGGCCCGAACCCCAGCCATACGCGGTACGCGGACCACCGGTAGAGAAGCAGATGCTTCGAGATTTTTAGAAGAAAATGAAAGGAAGGAAAGTTAAGTCTTCGGCGAGGAGGGCGGATGCCGCGAAGGGTTAAGGGCGCAGCGCGCTCCCGCAGCAGTATTTGCATACATTACATCATGCAAACCCACATTCCTGCACTGACACAGCAAGTCCAAAATATGCTTTTTGCGGTTGTAGGATTTTTTTTTTTTTTTCCCTGTTCCCTCAAGAACACGGAGCAGAGAGCTCCCGGTAAGCTCATTGCCTGCCTGCGCCCAGGCTCTGCTCCTTTGTTGTGAAGGCGGTTTAGGTTTGTAAAAGTTGCACACTGGAGAAGTTTTAACAGCGTGTTCTGGAAGGTAAGTGGCTCCGGAAGCCCAGCGATACGTTTCCCACTTCCATTCACCGAGTTTAGACTAGTTTCCATTCACTTAACTCAGGAAACCACCGGCGAGCTCTGGTTTTAAACTAACAATTCTAAAAATACCCCTCCAGCTACTGCTTTGCGAACGGCAAATAAACAGCCCAACCTTCTCCTCCAGCCCAGCAACAACCAGTATTTAAAGCAACAGTTTAAAAGCTCAAATGTTCACAATATACGAGAAAGCAATCAAAAAATCAGAAACAGAAACATTACACATTAAGTTAAACTTTAAAAAGTCTTACTGTTTTGGAAAGCCGTTCTCATCAGTCTGGTCTATAAGAATTTTTTCCCTGGTGTTTCCAAGAATTCCTACTAGTCCTATTAGCCGTTAAGCAGTGATTTAGAGTTAATCTCCAAACCAGCACAAGCAAATTAATCCCTGTGGGTCATATTCGCTTTCCACACAACAACCGAGGAGATCTTCTTAAGATCTTGATCTCTTCGTATGTATTTTAGGACATGTGCTCTCAACTCAGATCAAAGTTCTTTGCAAATATGAAACAAAATGAAAAATAATGACTAGAGTTTAAAAAAAAAAAATCCCCTTTTAATCACTCTACAGACATCCCTTTAAACCTTCTGCTGATTGGATTACAGCCTCCCTTGGCAAGACTCTCCAATGGTGACATAAATGCAGGCACTCCAGTTATTTGTATGTAAATAGGGGTGCTGCGAGGGTGTAGTTTTTCTGTAACTTGATCCCG